CTCTTTCTTCCTTGGAGCGGAAGTACAAGATTTTAAGTTCCATCAACCTGGCGCCTGCCATGAGGCAAGGTTTTTAGCAGATGCGATCTACATCCTGACTCTTTATATGACCAAAGATATCAGTAATATCTTGACAGAAAAAAAAGTGCTGCAGTTGAAGGATGCAAGTTTGTTCATTGCAATTTGCTATGTTCCATAGTTTTTGAAAAGTTTTTTAGGATTTCTGGCTTCCTACAATGATTTGAAAGCTATCTAGACCGCCTATGTATTGAGAAAAGTCAATAAGAATATTGGAAATGCTTTGCTTCTCAGCATGGGACGCCATACGTGGTACTTAACTTCGCAACTCTGTATTTTGTTCTTTGGGGATAAAGAGGTTCCTTCTGAAACAAAGCTAAGAATGCTGTTAGCTCTGATTGAGTTTGAAGAGCCAAATGAATTTCAGCGTTGTAAATCATCAAATGTACAAATTGGAGAGATCACAGAGCTACCTGAGTTGATTTTTGAGCAAAGCTACCTTTTCTTCAAACATTTCAAAATATCAAGAGCAAATATAGAAGAATGGCTCAATAATAGTCTTAATATTATAAATGTTTTTAACCATCCTCAGTTCTAAGATTTTATTACATGGATCAAAATATATCTGTTGTAAATGATGGTGCAGAAAGAAACATTAAGCTCATTAAAGATTTTATTTCAGTTACTAGAGATGATCACCTTCAAAATGTACTTTTTGTAGTTAAAAAGTCTAAAAAAAACTTGACTAAGAGTATGACTAAAAAGGAGCTTGGGAACTTTTCAAAAAGTTGTATTTTTTGAGAAATGTTTCACTGCAATAAAATCTTAAATTTGATAATAAATATTAGTTTTCATTTATTTTTTTATTTTTATTTTTTTTTATTTTGTATTTTCATATTTATAAATATAATTTATCAAGTTAAATAAAAAGATTTTACATCTAGCACTTCCTGTCAAAACAAAACCGTCAAATTTTTTTTAGTACTTATTTAGGTCACATAGAATGGGAATCAATAGAGAGCTTTTTTTTTTTTTTTGGGACACCCTATTCTAGAGGATTTTTCTACACAGCAAAATTTCCATAATTCCACTGACAATTTGTACTATAAATTCACAAAGTATTTGCATTTTTTTTTTGTATATTACAGGAATTATAAGGAATAAATAAGCAAATAATAATTTAATAGAAAATAATTTATTTTGTAAAACTTAAAAGTTAGAAATGTTTCGAAAAAACAGGTGGAATTTCTATAGATCCATTAAAGGTAATCTTTGATAATTTTTGTTCTAGATAATAATTTTTTAATTAATTTAGTTTTTAATAATGTGTGCTACCACCTATTACACTAATTAATTTAAAGACAATTAAGTTTTTCATACTTTTTATAAGATTTTCTAATCAAACCTTTGAAATACTGTTCCATGCTTGTTGGATAGATGTTTTAAGTTCTTGTATTGAATTATACTGTCAAGAATTTCCATATATAGTTTGCGCCAATATTCCCCATAAGTTTTCAATAGGGTTCAAGTCAGGTGAACATGATGGCAAATCCAAAACATTTATATTTTTTTCCTGGAACCACGTTTTTACACTTTGTGCCGTGTGAATTGCCACATTATCTTATTGGAAAACCCAGTTCTCAGTAGGTAAACTTTCACTAAACTCTATTAAAACATCTTCTAAAAGATCTACATAATTTCTTGCATTCATTTTTGTTGTAATAAAACATATTGGAATTTTGCCGTGGAAACAAAATGCGATCCACACCAAAACTGTCCCTCCTCAGAAGTTACGACTCATAGTGATGCTATCTTTTTTTTTCAAATCATTTCAACTTTTAACTTTAAATTTTTTTTGTTGGAAAAAATAACATTTTCCCATTCTGCATCCCATGACATGTGGTCCTTTGCAAATTTTAAATTTTGATGGTGGTTTTGTGATCATTCTTTTCCATTGGTATTGTCCTGATTTTGACAAATTTTGTTGGACATGTCTTGTAGTCACAGGTAATTCAAGTTCAGTCCTTATTTGTCTTGCTGTTTGTACTTCAGATGTCGCCAAACGCAAAATGGAAGAATGTTGCCTTTTGGTTTTTGTTTTTTTTTAATTTCCGCCCTTAAAGAGATTTTTGTTGTAATTTTTACCTAAGTTTATAAAATTGTTCACTGCATGATGAGACCTTTTGATTTTCTTTGTAATTGGAAAAACCCATAGTAAGCAACAATTTTTGCCTTTTCTTCCTCATTTAACACCTTTCCGTGTGGCATTGTAATAATTAAATAACAAATCTTAATTAAAAATACACAAAACTTTCATACAAAACTTTCATATAAACAACAAACAAATTAAAAAATCTTACTCAAACTTCAACTCTTATTAAGTGTTCAAAACAAACTAATGGAACTATGGAAATTTCGCCTTTATATATACCAATTTTAAAAACATTCTAGAAAATTTAGTTTTAATTGTTTTAGAAACACATAAAGTTGTCACAAACGCATTTATTTGCAAAAGGTCTAATAAAGAAAATTTTTGTGGTTAGTTTTATAAATGCGTTCCGCATAAAATCTGCAATAACTACATGGAACTATAGAAATTTCGCTGAGTGTAGATTAATGTCATCTGTTGACTTGTGTATGCACTAAAGATGAACAAACACAGTTGTCTCAGATATCTTTAAACGTGTAGCAATGTCAGACTTGTTGTCTCCCATTAAAAGTTGTACTTATGCACATTTAGCAAGGGATTTACCATACTCTAAAATAATAACAATAGAGTTACATGCAATTTTAATGTGTAGAGCATAAAAGATTTTTCAATCAGTATATCAGCCACAAAACACATGATTTTTTAGTGTGTTTTTCAGCAAGTATATTTTGTATTTAAGTAATTGAACCTGTCATTTCGAAAAGGGCACAAGTCCATTTATTAAAACTTTTCCAAATCAACAAAAACATGATTTTTATTAAAATAGTGTCTACGCTGGTAAAGAAACTAAGCATAGAAGTAGATAAATAAAGAACGTATCTAACTTATGTAACTTTTATTTTTTATAAAAAAAACATAAGCCATACAGAAATTTTTAATATAAATTTATAAACTGACTGTTAAAAGTTTTGGACTTGTGTCCTTTTCGAAATGACAGGTTCAATTATCTATAATAATTATGAGCCATAACTGAACAATTAAATTAAAATCATTATTGTTTGAACATTCTTTATTAATAAGTTTCAAACATATTTTGTCTAATTATAGAAAATTTATGTCCAGAATTCAACTGTATTTATTGGCATATAAAAATTTTAAAATAGCTCTGATGAAGACCAGTCAGCCAAACTTATTTTTCTGGCAATTTGATAAAAACTTCCCTCCCAAAAGTCAACACATAATAGAAATAATTAAACTCCTAGGTTGTCAAGAACATGTTGTTGCAGACTTTTGAGAAAGAAATGTAAACTTGTTTTTTTTTATTTAAGATGTTTTTCCGTTGAAGCATGTACAGATGTACCTCATCACCACTTTACAGATGTCTGCAGTTGTATAGTTACATGACAAAGGGCACGGAATACTGATTCTAAACCATCAGATCTTTATTTACGCCAAGGATATTCAGTTTTTCATTTTGTAAGACATTTTCTTGAGTTTGACTAGTGCCTAATATTCTAAAAATATTTTAAAGTTGATAAATGTATGGTAGGGGAAAAATGTTGAACAAACCTTATAATGTTCTTAATCAATTAGATTTTTTTTTCAAAAATCCAACATTTTAACTTCAAAGACATTACTTAACATTTTTTTTATCTTGGATTTTGACAAATTTACAGTTTAGGGAATTATTTCCACTTCTAACATTAAGATGTATATTGTTAAAGATTAAAGAAAAAATGAGAAATGCGACTAATCCAGACATGTTTGGCGCTGTATGGATGTCCAAAAATAAACACACCCAAAAGATTATTACTTCTTTTTTCTAAATTAAAGTAAAATAATTAGAAAAAATCTTGTTATTTTTATTTACACTCAGTAAATAGTTTAGTTAGTACAAATTCTGTTTATTTTAGCTAGTTTATTTTTTGTTTGGAAAATACAATTGATTAAAAAATAAATGTACAACGTTTCTAGCTTAAAACTTGGTTACTAATTGAACAATAGTTTAATAAAAATGAACTAAATACTTCTTGCAAAACTCAGTTTGAAGGCAATGAAAAGTATAACAAATTAGTCTTCTTGAAAAAAAGCAGAATGATGTAAAAAATTAATTCAAAGTAAAAACTTTCAATTCAAAATTCCTATTAGGTAGAAGTATAAAACTCTTGAAATCTTTTTACAATGTCTGATTGGATAACAAAACATTTATTCTATTTCTGATTGGATAACAAAAGTAACATGTACATTTTTCCTTTATTTCGAATATAATAGAAACTATGATATGCATTATAAAAAGACAGATTTCACTTTAACATGCAGCAGCCATAATAAAAATGTATTAACATATAGATCATAATAAACTTTTCAAGGACAAGGTAAGAAACAGTCTATGCTATAGATGCTACTTAAAAATGCTCAACATAAACTAAAATGTAAGTAGAAACCAACAATCAAATTGCAAAAAAGAAGGAACTGAAAAGCCTGATGAGTCTTTGTGTGACATGGAAGAACAACTAATGGAAACTTCAAGTCATGTATTGATAGATAATATTACTAAATGTTCAGCTAATGATCGTGGAAATTAGGATATTTGTTTACTAACTATTAACAATAATTTTGAAAATTCTTAAATATTTTAAATATTATTAAAATACAGAACTCCAGTAGTTTAGTAGAACTTAAATAGTGAGCTCTACAAATCTACAAATATTTACACATACACCAACTTTTTTTTTGTGCACATTAAATCAGTAGAATTTCCCTCTATTTTACTTTTTAATAGAAATATTATAACAGATAAATTATTTTAATATAAATGATACAATTATTTTACCTAGTATTCTGTTGATGAACGTTTAGGGCTTTTGCCATTAATACAATAAGAACTGGTCGAAATAGCTTTCCTTCATTATCAAAATAGTAATGAATACATTCTTGAAAATGTTTAGACTTTATGTTTAGTTCCTAAATAAAAACTTTACAGTAAAAACTTTTCCATAACAGTTTTAGATAACTTTAACTCTTAAGCAGAGTAGTATATTATTAAAAAATGAACTTTTATTATCATATTATTATTATATATCTTTTATAACAATGCTGAACTTTGTTTGACACAGAACTCTCAGCAGCCATTAAAGCTGAGTTAAGGCATAAAAGAAACTTTAAAATATGAAAATATATGTAAATTAATTACAAATGCCATTTAAAGTTACACCAATGTAAAAATTCCATTTATATAGCACTCCTTACAAACCTCTATAAGTGTAAACACCTTAAGCTTAAGTTGATTACTTGTGGATTGTATATTAATGATCTTGGCACCAGAGTATGTGAGTGGTGCAGAGTGGAAGCAATGTTGCATGATTTAAAAAAAAAAAAATTTCAAAATGCTCACCTATTGCTCAATTACAAATAACAAGTGATGGCTCAGAGCCCACAACTAAACCACTGTCACTCGGATGACAGAGTGGAGCTCAGATTATTTCTAACCATATTTTGAATTTGTTTCCATTTGTCTTATTATTACATTTACAAAAATTTCTATAAAGCATATATTATATAGCTAATTTATCACATGATTTTAATTATACTTTTTACCACCCCCACCTCCTGATTTTTGCCTGTGAATCTCCATTATACCCATGCTTATTATAATAAGCATGGGTAGAGAGAGATAGCAATATAAATTTTATGAAAGCTTGAGTGGAGTAACTACAAAATTTTGCAGTAGCTTTGTAACTCACACTTTAAGCGTGAAGTGCTAAAATTCTTCCTGCTTAGCTCCGCTCACATACTCTACTTGGCATTGAGAACAGCGCACAAAATATTTTCTAACAATTATAAGTCTTTTTGACTTAAACTAATTTGTTTCTTATTTAAAAAGCGAGATTGAAAAAGCAGTTATTTTGAACCTACAAAAACAATTAGATGTTGGCAGTGAGGAGAATGCACCAAACCACTGAGCTACTGAAAATAAATGTTACACCTGAAAACAAACCATTTTATAAACTTTTTATACTGATTGTAATTAATCAACACTTTTCAAGCAGGTACTCTAAATAAGTTTATTAACAAAGACAGATTATACAAATGTAAAAAACAATATTCAGGGGTCAAAATAGGTGTTGGACATCGCCGCTCCTTGAACCATTCTTGAAACCTGCTAGAAAAGGGCAACAAATCATTGTTAATTTTTTTAGTAAAAATAAACAATAGTTGATTGCCCCATGAAACAGGTCTTTAAAACAGTTCAGAGAACACCAATGTCCAACACTTATTTCAACCCCTAATATTTAATATGCATATATAAAAAAGCACTTAATTTTATGTACAAGCATCATAATGTTATAAACATTCTAAACGCCAGTACTACTAAAATTAGGTAACTCTTTTATATTAAAAATGTAAAACCATGATAACTAAAATATTTTATATTTTAGTTTAATATGTAAGGATAATTATTACCTCACCTCTCTAATGTTAAGGTGAATACACAAAACCTCTTTTGTAAGTTTTATAGGGTCTGCCACCACAAAAGTTTTTGGGCTAAAAACAACAAAAAAAAAACTAGTAAACAAAATAGTATATATCAAAAAGATTGTTTAAATATATATATAATTATTATATAACATAAAAAAACATTTCAGCAAGCCATTTTTTTTTAATCTTATTTGTAACTCTGTCCACCCTAAACTCCGAAAGAAGGCTGCCACAAGCAAGTAGTAGAACATGTAAGTAGAAGAATACTCTGCTGAAAATCAAGAAGTTTAAGGTTAAAATTTATCCCACACCTCTAGAAGTAACACACTTACCTGTACCAACCTTTTTAAACAAGGCTGCAGCATGTAAAAACAAGTTAATTGTGATACTTCAGAGGCATAGGATGGATTTAAACCTTGAACCTCTTGATTGGGATTGGAGTGTTCAACCACTATTACCACATTAACTTCGAGAGTCTACTACTGAATTGACGTCAAGTGAAATTCTGCATCTCATTTTGACATATTTCTTTAAGAGAATCTTAATCAAAGCTGCAACGTTTTCAGCCTTTTAGTTACTCAGAAAGTCTGAACAATCAAGCCACTCTCACTATCCTGTTCAGAAGCTAGACAAACTCATCACATTTTATGAACTTCTTGATCTATGGCTTAAAAAGGATAATTGCTCTAATCTTCGCCTCAGACAGCTTTAGAAAAAATCTAGGAGTTACTTAAAAGTTGTTGACTTCTTGTCAAGAGAAATGACAAATTGCTTCATGGGCATTTTCTGAGGTTCAATCAGCAGCTTTAGATACCCCTTTTTTTTAGTCGCCATACTTCAAAGCACTATCCAACATTTTGATATAGCTAAAGTCGATATTTGAATGCAGAGCGAACCTGAGAATGAGAGTGTAAATAGGTAGTTATTGTGATTCAACACAGCTTTAAGGCTCCAGATGAGCTGTTAATAAATAGAATTCATTTACTTGGGTTTACAAGTGATACCATTAGCCTTGAAAAGACCAGGCACATGGTTGCAGAAATACAGCTCATCTTTTTCACTGATGAAGTTAGGAAATATTTGGTAACATTTTCTGATCTGTGATTAGCACATTTTTATCCATCAACAATACAGAAGTAGAAGTTGGTTAAATGATCTGTCATTTTTTACCAAATTCATGGGATAGCCAACTTCATGACTCTATCACCCTGTACAAACCTGCAATATAGTACATATAACTAATTATATAAATTTGAAGATAGAAAATTTTATATATTACTTAATACTGGGAATAATATTAACATGTAATACATTTTCTTATAAATCAGTGATATATATATATATATATATATATATATATATATATATATATATATATATATATATATATATATATATATATATATATATATATATATATATATATATATATATATATATATATATATATATATATATATATATATATATATATATATGGAAACTTTGTTAATTGTTACTTCTTGAAATAAACTATAAAATACTGAAACTGAACTTAAGAAAGCAAATCTAAGCAAGAAGCAATTATTCAACCTTCAAGAGTTAGCTTGCATTATTCACATATGAAATGCAATACCCACAACTTGTCAGGATCATCAACATACATGCTTAAGTGTACCTTGTAAGCCTAACACATTTTATGTGTTAGGCTTACAAGGTACACTTATGTTATAATGCCTTATAAATTATCAACACATGTAAAATAAAGCATCTGCTGGATGTAAACAACAATATTGGTTTTAGTCATCTGCGCTTCTATAGATTACCTTTGAACGGTTTGAGAACAGTTTGAAAACAAAAGCTTCTGGAAGTTTTTTTAAAGTTCTAAAGATTTTTTTAAAGTTCTATATGTTCTAGAACGTTCTGTAAAATTTATATATATATATATATATATATATATATATATATATATATATAATATATATATATATATATATATATATATATATGTACATATATATATATATATATATATACATATATATATATATGTACATATATATATATATATATATATATATATATATACATATATATATATATATATATATATATATATATATATATATATATATATATATATATATATATATATATATATATATATAATATCTTCACTTCCAACAAGGCTGCAAGCAACCACTAATTAGTGTTGGAAGTTACTGGAAGAGAAAAGATGAAGATGGTAGAGCAAGATAACGATTGACAGATGACTTAAAAGATTGCAAATTATATGAATCAGGAAAGCAAGATGAAGGAAGCGAATTCCAAAGAACTTATGTTCGAGGATTCGCATTTGTTCATTTAGAGAGTTTTTGGAGCACTTAGGAAAAGTAACAGAAAAAGGATGAGACTTCATTAAATGACAAGTAACACGAGAATGAATTTTAGTAGATGGCACAAGAGACGTTAGCTCTTTAGAGCAGTGCCCATTATAGTATTTGTAGAAAAGAGAAAAAGACGCAACATTATATCCTTAGAAGATCCGCCCCAGATATGGCAACAGTATTCCTTACAAAGCCGGATTTGAGATTTATAGAGATAGAGAATAGAATCCAGAGTGAGAAAGTGTCGAGCTCGATAAAGAGATGCTAATTTTGCTAAAACTTTAACAGATGCTAATTTTGCAACGAATATAAGGTTTCCAAGAAAGATCAGAAGTAAGAGTTAATCCTAGAAGATGAAGGGTAGACAACTCATCAAGCACATTACCGTTCATAAATATAGGAAGGTCTAAATTATTGCGATAACAATTGGCTGAAAAAAAATTGAGTTTTACCTGAATTAAAATTCACTAGCCGCTGTGAGCCCCATTCTGTAGCAGAAGCAAGATCCTTTTCAAGCTCAGATGCCCCCTGCAAGCAATCAGAGGGAGTTGGCTTCTTTCATGACAAGAATAAATGGTAGTATCATCAGCTAACAATGCCACCTTAGATGTGAGAATATCTGGAAGATCCATAATGTAAATTAAAAAAAGTATAGGGGCAAGGATTGAACCTCGAGGAACCCCTGAGGTTACAGAATAAGAAGAAGAGTGCTGTCCATTAAGGACAACTTTTATACTACGATTGGAAAGGAAGGATTCAATATTCTTAAAGATGTTTCCAGATACACCGTAAGAAGAAAGGTTATGGAAAAGACCAGCATGCCAAACTATATCAAATGCTTTAGAAATGTCAAGAGCAATGGCTTTAACCTCTCCACCTTTATCTAATGCACGATAAAACCTATTGGTTATTACTGTTAGCAAATCAGTCGTAGAACGAGAAGATCGAAATCCATATTGATGATCAGAAAATTATTAGATTCAAGATGAGAGATTAAGTGTTTGTTAATTAAAGATTCAAAAACCTTGTTTATGATAGGAAGAAGACTAATGGGGTGGTAGTTAGACAAATCGGATCGCTCTCCAGAATTTTTAAAAATAGGGATAACAGATGCTGCTTTCCAGCAGGCTGGAAAACTAGACTCTGATTTGCTCTTATTATTGATACTATTAAAGATTCTCCAGAAGCCATGAGAGCCTAATTTTTGTGATGAAATACAAGATTTCATGATCTAAGAATAGGGGGCTTTGGCGTTAGACAAAACCTTTTTACAATGGTTCCTAGCAGTAATAAACAGATTCCTGTTTTCTGGAGAGTTGTGTTTTGCTGATAGATATGGAAGTAATAGTTTCGATTAGCAATTGCAGCAGTGCAATGTGAGGAAAACCATGGGGAAGAATGAGGCTTGACCTGGAATTGTCGAGAGGGAATAAAGGATTCCATGCCAGCCTGAATCCAAAAAGTTTTTGAAGAAGCACATTTGTCAACAGGAAGACGAAAGATTTCTACCCAAGGGCCATCATGATGAAAATCACCGAAAGAGTCCCAGTCAGCTTTAAGGTAGTTGTAAGATCAAGCCTTCCCAGGAAAGGCGTGCGGTTTTTTTTCTCGTATGACCACATGCAATTACACTATTTTAGAAAATGTGAACACGGTCGTTTGCAAGTTTTATAATAATGCTGAAAAGTTTCAAAAACAAAAAAAAAACATAACTAACAAAATAAAAAGAGATTGAAATAGAAAAAAATAAAAACAAATTAATAATTTAAATAATTTGTGTACTGTTTTTATTTTTGTTTCTTTAGAGTTACATTCAGCAACAAAAATTAGATAAGGCTAAGCAAAAAAAAAAACAGTTTGAAGTCTACAATAAGAAGAATGATTTTTATTTTCTTAATTTTTTTTAAGAGGATAGCAAAAATACAAATTGCAATGTGTTTGTAAAATTTATTTATATAATTTTAATGTAAAAACAAGGGTTGAATTAAGCGAATGCAAAATGCAAAATCTGGAAAAATATCTAGTATTCAAAATTTTAGTTTATACAAAACCGTGTTCCTTGTTTTTAAGGGGAGAATCAACTTAAATTTGTTAGCGAAAAAATAAAACAATAAACTTACGATTACAAAAGTAATAACACTCTAGTCACTAACTGCATTACAAAAGTAATAACACTATTATAATGTTATTATTTTTATAACGCACTTATAACCTTTAAAATTCATTTTTTGTTCAAGCAACATTAGTATTCCCAAATTTTAATTGAAGTAGAAAAATATCTAAAAGAATGAAGTAGATGTTCAAATAATATTAAAACTAAAGTAACTTATAAAAACGTGACAAACAACTTTAAGAAAACGTATCGTATTAAAAATTTAGCATTATGAAAAACGTTACTAATGGACCGTAAAAACGCGAGTTAATTTTAAAATTAACCAAAACAAAATTTTTTATTGGTTGATTTTAAAATTAACGCGCGCTTTTACGTAACGTTTTTCATAATGCTATACTTTTTATGAAGGACTTTTTTATAACGTTGTTTAAGTGATATGTGAAAGTCCCTGAAATTTTAAATAATATTTGAATATCCGCTTTATTTTTTCTACTTTAATAAATATTTGGAATTAATAATGTTGTTTGAATAAAGGATGAACTTTAAAAGTAATAAGTGCTTTATAAATGTAATAACACTATTATAGTTTTATTACTTTTATAATGCAGTTAGTGACTAAAGTGTTATTACTTTTAAGTAGTCGTAAGTTTATTGTTTTTGTTTTGTTTTTTGTAACTTTCTCGCTAGCAAACTTTTAATAAATTGCTCCTTATAAACAAAGTACACAGCTTTGCATGAACTAAAATTTTAAAAACCTAATATTTTACCAGAGATTGTACACCACGATCGTATAATTTAACTCTTGATATAAACTTGTTACGTTATAATTATACAAATATATTTTACAAACAGATGACAATACATATTTTCTCTTTCCTCTTTAAAAGAAAAAACACACAAAATATGGGAAAGTCATCCTTTTTAATGCCTAAAACAGTTTTTTTTTTTTTTTTTTTTTTTTTTTTTTTTTTACTTTGACTTAATGAATTTGGAAGCCGATAATAATAACCACTAAGAAAAAAATAAATAAAAACAACACAATATTATTTAAACTATTATTATTGTTTTCTAATTAAGTTCACTTTAATTTTTTAAGTAGTTATTAAATTTAAAACATTTTTTGAACAACGCATATAATAAAACTTGTGCAAACGGCCGTGATCACATTCTCTAACTTGAAAAACATTTTCATGGTCACACGAGACAAAAAACCGCACACCTTTCCTGGGAAGGTTTGTAAGATGTACGATGATAGGGGGATTCTGATGATAAAGAAGAATGAGATAATAGTTTTAGAGAGACCAAACCATGATCAGAAGCACCGAAGGGTGAGTGTGGAGAAACTGAGCACCGACTAGAATCAGAAACAAGAAATAAGTCGAGTAGAGAAGGTAAATGATTTGGGTTGTCTTGAAAGCGAGTTGGAAAGTTGACTATTTGAGTTAGGGATTGAGAAAGGCAAAAGTTGTGGGCTTTAAAGCCTGCAGAGTCACTGACACTAGAGCCAAGCCATTCAGTGTAATGAACATTAAAGTCACCGACAACAACAATATTACCTGATGGATAAAGAGAGAGGGCTTGGTTAATATGATCAGAAAATCAAGAAGAGTGCAGTCTTGAGATGAAGGAGAGCGATATAGAATAATGAGAAAGGTGATAGAGTGAAGTAGTGCTAAATGAAAGCATATGAGAGAGTAGTCTGTGGATTCAAACCTAGTTTCCCGACAAATGGGTGAATTCTTACGAATGTAAATGCCCAGGCCAAGCATGTGACTATTGGAGTCTTTACGAATTAAAGGAAGATAACTATCAACACTAAGATCACAAGATGAGACAGCCGAACTCAAATTAGTCTCACAGGGAGCGAGTAGGTCTGGTGGACTTTGCAAGAGATAAGACTCAACAGAAGAAAAGTTACTTCAAAGGCCACGAATATTAGTGAATGATAAGTTTTTGTTACTTTATTCATTTTTAAATTTGTTATAGAACTTGACTCGAAACATAGATAGTACTCAGTACACTGTTTTATAGCCCAAGCAATTGCCTCATTACTACTAATAAACCCTAAGCTATAACAAAGGGCACCAATGTGGCCTTGGCAATGCACACCAAAGGTACAAAGAGGGACACCATCCATGCGAAACATGGCACTGTTAGTACTTTGATATTTTTCAGCTGTTGATGGAATCAGCCTCTCTAAGAGTTCTCCACAGAGTTCGGGAAACCTGACTATCAGCCGGCCTCAGAACCATAAAACTGAGTTTAAGAGCTGTATTCTCGTTTGGAGATAATAGAATGAGTTGCCTAGTCATAAAAAAAGAGACACAAGCAAAACCTACGCAGCGAGTCAAGAAGATCCAGAGTTCAACATCCTAAACTGGAAATAATGTATTAAAAACACATCTGCGCCAGCCTAATAGATGAAGCCTAGTAGATGAAATATAGCCTAATAGATGAAATATATACTAGCCTAATAGATGAAATATATACCTTTTGCACAATATTAGCGGTTCAGGAATATTCTAGATGCTCTAGAATACTAATACTCAGCATTCAATACAAATTTCTCAAAAACATACAGATTTCAAAATGTGATAGTCCCAGTCACAGAAGCAAAGCTTTTGTGAAACAGCTAATTTGTATTTGTTTTCAACAAAAATTTTTTACTATTCTTATTATTTTCAACCTTACCCATTCCCCAAGTTATTTCATAACATCAACTCATTAGATGTAAAATCCACTAATAAATGTAAAATTTGTAAATAGACTATCAACAGAATTAATTGAGCAAGGTAAAAACACACGAAAAATTCTAAATTTTGTCCTCCTTACCAACAATTTAATTTTGGGGATTTGATTTAGTTTTTGATAGAACATATCTGAATTAAATTTATTTTTATTTTCGATAGATAACATGTCTGAAACTCCCACCACACTTAAATATGATGCTGAAACTGGTATAGTAAATTTTAATGCAATTGATGAACAAATTATTTCATATATTTACAATGTTCTTTATTTTCAACAATTTAATCAATTTTTAATTAATAATTTAATTTTTCACAATGTTCTTCATTTTTAACAACTTTTTATATTTCTTTAATTTTAGAATATTCTCTATTTTTAACTTAAAATTTTTTAATTATATTTTAATAAGATTCTTGGCAGTGTTACCATTCTTTAACTCTATAAACTCTTTTTGTGTTTTACATCACAAGAAAACGATGATATAACTGCACAAAAAGTTCACATCTGGAAAATAGTTTATAAACTTATTAATTCAACTTTCCCAAATCATTTTTGATTAGATTAATCAGAATATTTTCAAACAAATCAATTTTTTTTTTTTGAGGCTTACGTTTGGCCTGTGTTTCACAACATTTTTAACTCTCTATCCATGAAACTTCCACCATAGAGAAACATGCAGCAATCATATGACCATGGTCAAGTCCTCCTCAAAGCGTCTTAAAGGCATCTGCCTCAGATTAATCAAAAAAGTTGCTAAATCAAATGGTCAACTTCTTCAAGCATTGTTTTTAGTTAGATCTATTCTGCAAAATCTTAGGAATTCACAACCTAAATCAATAAAATCTTTTGCGGGTTTTAGTAAATTCTCATAAACACCTAGATATATTTATTTATAAAGGAAATAATAATAATAAATTAACATCTCTGGATCCATCCAACTAAAAAAAAAAGGTTTTTTTTTTATTTATTACTGTTCTTGTTAATGTTCATTGGTTGATGAAGTATTAGTTGATGAAGTTTAATATCTTTGTTTAATACCAGTTAACCATAATTAAACTGCTTAATTTGATAATTAAATGCTGATCAAGCTTTTATGAAACAGCAAAGCAATATAACAATACCTTTTGGCAGAACATTACCTTCTTTGTCAGTTTGTAGCCTAAAAAAATCACAAATATCATTTCTAAAGACTGTCATCCAGTTGCAGTTAAATTTCAATAATCACATTGATACGCCTTCATTCAATCCAAAATTAAGAAATTATTTAATAAGAAAGTTAGAGTACCTTTGTACTTTAGAGCACAAATTGTAAAGCTATGACAAATGAGAGATAAAAAACAAATGTTTTTTGATTATTCCCAAACTAAATAGTTTTACCAACTTCAATACCATACTTCAATGCTTGTACTCTACCCAGGTGACAAGTTAATGAATTGTTTAAGTGTTATTTTTTCAGTACTTTTGATCTTACAAGTCTCTATCATCAGATATCACACCTACTAGAAAACAAGCCTTATACAGTGTTTGAAACTAGTAAATTGTATCAATTTACTTATTTGTCATTAGGTCTAATGAATGCAGTTGCTGATTATTATTGGGTAATTGGTAAATTTATAATAGCGAGCTCTTAAAAAAATATCAATAAGATATAGATAACATTATGGTAGCAGGTATGACTCAAACTGAACACGACTTTAATTTTAAAAAATTATACAAATCAGGTAAGAAAAGCAAGCTTACATTTAGCAGTACCACTAAATGGAAAAGCATTACAAAGAATTGTAGAACTCTTCTCCAAATACTAAGTTTATCTTTAATTATACTGATAAAATCCATTATTATAGCGTTCAACATTCTCACTTAATCAGCAACCTGCAGATGTTTTTATACCACTAAAAAACAATATTGTTTATGGTGTCTTAAAAGCAATATTTAAGTTAAGAGTTAATAGAAAGTAAAAAACAAATAAAACTTTATTAAATTTGATAGAACAGGTATAAATAGTCATAGTAAAAAGAAAAAATCTTGGCTGAATGATAAGTCATCAAGATTTCCTTGATTTTCCCCCATAAGTTTGTAATCATGTGTGAACAACACACACACACACACACACACACACACACACACACACACACACACACACACACACACAAGTACACACAGATGCATATATTTATCTTTCCATTGTTTATATCAGATACTGATATAAACACACCTTTTTATAAATACTTAATATATATTAACATATATGCAAATTTTCTACTTATCTGCAACTACTCTTAAATAAAAAAATTTGATAAACTATTTTCATGTTTATGTTTAATATTTATACATTCCTTGTAGTGACAAACAAATTGTGCCAGGCAATACACAATATCATATAACATAATTATATATAACATGTAATGTAAATATAAGGATTGCAATAACATATTTGTTATAATGTAGAAAATTAAAAAAAAAAACAATAATCATTTGCAAAAGAAACTTTTTTTTCAGTCTATTGTGCATTTAAAAATTTTAATATTTTAAATTTAATTGCCAAACCAAATTAAATAGAAGTTTAAAAAAAATTTCTTTATGAATCAGACATTTTTTGTAAGTTGATTGAGATGTTCATACATTCCTTCTGGTGCATAGAGACACCCTGTAGTAGCATTGAATAACAATCTATTACTATGAATGACTTTATTTACATTGTTTAACAAAGCCATTTTCTTTGAAATACTTTTTAGCCATCTGAAGTAACCAACTAACATAGTGATATCACCATACAATAATATTTATGTACTTACAATTATTATTTTTTAACTATGTTACAAGTACCTATAACAAAACAAACTTTATATTTAAAACATTCATAATAAAACAAATAATAAAGTGAACAATTTAAACCTTATTAATTAAATCTAAACCAATAGCAAGTGAGAGCAAGAAAAATTAATGCACATAACATATTCTACCATCGTAGAATAAGTTGTATAAAATATAAGTTAAACAAGAAAAATAAATTTTTATCATTTTTTTGTTAATAATATATGATAATCATTACATTACGTAATATTATAACAATATTATATCACAACATTATGATAACGTAGAAAATTTACTAAAGTGTATTACTAAAATAGTGCGACCATTAAAAAATAAAAGTTACATAAAGTACGGTGTCAATACAAAAGTGAGTACCAAAAAATATCTCAAAAGGGGTATTTAACACTATATGAATTTGAAAAAGGGGACATGTCCTGCAAAAATTCACATAACATGTCCCTTTTTCAAGTTAGCGATTCATATAACGTCTTAACTTAATAAGACAGCTATTAATTATTGCGTAAACTACGCATAAAAATATACGCATTATTTTTAACTTTGATTGTCCTGATATTTAACTATTGCTAATAATTATCAGTGCCGGATCAGGAGGGCGGGGGGGGGGGGGGAAGTTAGGGGGCTATAGCCCCGGGCCCCGCAAATTTAGGGCCCCAAAAAATTTTAGAGGACCTTTACGTCAAGTTAATTGCTTAGAACTTTGATGTAACTAAAGTGCAGCCAAAACAAAATAGTCTAGTGACGGATCCAGGAATTTTTGGTGGGGAGAGGGGGGCGGAGGTGTTGAAATATTTTTGTATCATATTTTGTCTCCTATATAAAAAGGTTCTCAAAATAAAGATGTAAACCCCATCCTTCTACCCCCTGGGTCCGTCCCTAGTACTGACTGACATATAAAACCTGTATGTAAATCTGAATGCAAAACCTGTATGTACGTATTATTTGGGGGAAATGAGTTCTGTCGGAGTTGCTTTGGTATTGGCTTTGATTTTGAAATACAATTTATTTTGATAATTTTCAAGCAAAAAAAAATTGGTTAAAAATTGGTGAAATAATTTGTTCCAAGTAATTTTTCCAGGGATAAAACTATGGTAGAGTTAAAGACAGTGTAACTTTGTTGCCAAAATTGCAAAACAAAACATAAAGTTTTCTTTAATTATTTCAGCGAATAAAAAACATGTAGGACTAAGACAGCTTAAAAGTTCAGTTTAGAAGAAATAAATTACGCCAATAGTTATGAACACAGGTCAAGTTTAATCACAATGCAAATTAGGCAAATTATATGGTCGTCTTGAGCTGAAAAATTTATTGGGTGGTAAGCTCCATACTTTACTGTTAATTGGATGATTGTATGCAATCTTACATAAGTTCTCTCTCCCAGTAAATGGGGCAGTGGACTGAGGTCGCTATAAAATAAATTCAACACGCTACTGGGTGTTGGATTTTTTTATAGCGGGGGGTGTTGAAATATATTTGTATTTTGTATCCCATTTGCGTCTCCTAATTTAAAAAAAAGTCCTCCATTTTTATGATAGTTTAGGACTTTCAGATTCTGGAAACAACTCCAAATTTTTTTTGGTAAAAAATCACAACAAAAGATAATTGAATAAACACAATGTTCATTGCATTGAGTATTTTGTCATGCAAAGTAATGCTTGGAAAGAAAATGCTCATGCTACTTTTACCTTCACTTTTTGAAAATATTCTCTTTGTTAACGGTAAACGGAAGGACTCTTAATTATATTTTTTAATCTCAAGAAAATGTTCATTGTCATTTAGTTAATATTAGAATGCACTCAATAATTTTTTAGTCAAGTTGTTGGTTACAAACTATTATATTTCATTTCATTTTTAAGAACAAAAATAAAAATGACATAAGAAACTCTAGAAACCCACTAACGAAATAAAAAATAAAAAATTTTACAATTGATATAATTTTATTAACTTTAATTGATACCAAATTTCTTTTTATATCTTTTGTTTTATAAGAAGATAAAACTAGAAACTTTTTAGATAAGACTAGAAATACGGTTTATAAAGTAATAAGCAAAATTTAACAAACAAATATAAACAAACAAACGAATTTAAATAAACAAATGAATATAAACAAACAAACGAATTTAAATGAACAAATGAATATAAACAAACAAAACAAGCATCATAAACGATCTTTATAAAATAATGCTGCATACTGCTCTCAAAATGAGCCTACAAATAAAAAAATTAAAAAAGTTATCTATTGTGAACAAACAATAATTTAAGATTCTTTTAAATTCCAAGAACTGCAGCTTGTTTGCTCACCTTTATTTTTATGGGGAGGCATAAATTTTTGTTAATCATTTTTCTAATTTCTATTCATTTAAATATTACGCTTGAAATCTTACATAATAAACAGCTTAATCAAAATGAAAATCAGCAAAGTAAGTTTACCATTTAAAAATAAATATTGTTTTTATTTAATTTATGTCATTTAACGACGTAATGATTGTCTTGTAAACATTTCATTTATAGTTTTTTAATTATAGTATTTATTGGCACACACACACACACACACACACACACACACACGCACAAACATATATATATATATATATATATATATATATATATATATATATATATATATATATATATATATATATATATATATATATATATATATATATATATATATATATATATACATATATATATATATATATATATATATATATATATATATATATATATATATATATATATATATATATATATATATATATATATATATATATATATATATATATATATATATATATATATATATATATATATATATATATATATATATATATATATATATATATATATATATATATATATATATATATATATATATATATATATATAAGGCTTTCAAGTTTACAGTTATGTTTTGAACAAATAATGATAATCTAACTAACATATTTAAATTGGTACACAAATCAACGATTTTTGATAAATTCAAAAGTTTGCGAGAAAAGCGTTTTTTTTTTTTTTTTTGAATGGAACAAATTTTTCAACTGTATTTGGTCTCAGTTTTATATAAAAGATAAACCACATTAATATTTTGTAGGATATCCTTTACAGTCAATAATGGTTTGGCATCTACTTAAGCATAGATTCAACTAAATTAATGCAAACGTCAATAGGAATTGAGTATCATATTTCCTTGATTTTATTAAATAAATCAGCATGACTTGTAGGCCTGATTCCTTTCATTTGATGGTCAAAATGTTCCCATAGATGTTGAATGGGATTTAAGTCAGATGATTGGGATGGCTACTTTAAAACATTAACTTTACTCTTTTTGAAAAAATTAATTTGGCTGTATGTTTGGGATCGTTATCCTGTTGGTACATCCATCCTCGAGACGTTTTATTTTTTTCATGAGGTAACATATTAGTCTTACATATATTTTTTCACTTTTATTGATTCATAGTCTCAGTAATTCTATGGAGCAAACCAATTCCATCCCGGCTAAAACATCCCCAAATCATTAGATTACCTCCTCCATGTTTTACGGTAGACAGTTTGGGTTTAGGATTGTATGTTGCACCTAATGGACGTCGAAAATACCTGATTCCTTCTAATCTGAACAGCATAAACTTGCTTTCGTCAATAAAAAAATTTTTCGGACCATTGTTGAATAATCCACTTTAGATGCTCTGATAATAATTCTTTTCAAGCGTTACAATTTTTCCAGGTAACTAAGGGCTTTTTATCTGGACGTCTTCCAAATAAATTAGCGTGCCGTAAACAACAATTTATATTAGAAATACTACAATTTATTTCATAAAAACGTCTTATTTGTACGTTTATTTTGACACCTGTCTAACCTAACAACACTTATCAACCTACTTGCAACAATTTTTTTTTTCAGTTATAAACTTCCTTCTTTCATCCTAATTTGATCAAATATTCATGAACCACTCATTTTCAAAATTTTAATGCTTTCTTACCTTACTTTTTTGATTAGTGTATTGTTTCTGACCCTACTTGTGTGTTTAGTTTTTCCTTTGTTCAGACCTTGTAAGACCTAAATCTTTTACCTCGTTTTTTTTTCTTCAGACTCACCTCGTTGCAATACTTACTTAAGTGACTGATTAAAGACTGATTAAATTTCATAACTGCAAGTCTGCATAAGCTGCAAATTGGCATAAGTGCAAAGCAGTTACAAAAACTGGCAAAAGTGCTAATTGGCATTAGTGCGCTGAAAGAATTTGCAAGCAATGGTATAAGTGCGAACTAACATAAAAGCGAAGTGGTTGCAAAAATTGGCATAAGTGCAAATTGTCAGGTGCAAACTACCATAATTGCACCGAAATAACTTGCAAACATTAGCACAAGTGCAAGTTGGCATAAGTGCGAACTGTCATAAGTGCATATTATCATAAGTGAAAAGCAGTTGTAAAAACTGGCTTAAATACAATCTGGCATAAGTGCACTGATATTTATATTAAAATGCTATAATAAACAAATCAATATATATATTTTTATATACATAGATATTTATATAAAAATGCTATAATAAACAAATCAAAGTGAAACAAGTAAAGTTACTTTTCGCGAAAGTGAAAAAGCTGTACTGTCTTATCTGTATCCAACATGCACAGACGACCGAAAATAAATATTTATTTAATAATTGATTCAAAAAACAGAACAGATAAATAACTAAGCATAATTTATGCTTATTAATGTAAAAGTTATAATAATAAAAGCTATATCCATAAAAAGAATTATTCATTTATTAGCTTAGTAAAAATTATTAAAAAATTTAATAATCTCGTTTTTACAAATTAAAAAAAAAGAGACAAAGAGTCGCCAAATATTTTTAACACGCACTTGGAAAAAGGAAACGAATTTTTAAAATGTTTATTTATAAAGAGTTTTCTAAAAAAAATCCGCAAAAAAGTTAATTGTAGAACAATATTAGGAAATAGAAAAAAAGTCAATTTTACGCTGTGTACGTGCAGTAACCTGTTTAAGGTTAAAAAAAATCCAGTTTTCTTTTACATTAGGCAATTCGCTTCCAACTAGTAATGAGCTGTATTATTCTAATTATTCTTTGGACTCCTGATAAAGTTATACACTATAGATCAAAAAGTGCTGAAAGTCTTTTTTGGCTCGTTATTAAATATAAAAGTTAAAAAAAAAAAAAAAAAAAAGATTAAAAAAAAAAAGAATATATGGATATGCCTTGATTTATGAGTATACATATCTGCAAATATATGTATGTTGTTTTTGGAGGTGAATTACCCCTAGACAATGGTTTGATGTTTTTGTTAACACAGGCGTAAACGCACTAACGTTCGATAATCTAACATATTATAATATGTTAGAACATAATATTATGTTCGATAAATTATATCCAAAGAGATTTAGTGGATGCAAAACGTCATATTTATTTTTAAAATTATAGACCTTTTTATCGTGATATTTATTTATATATTTATAAAAAGAGTTGTTTGCATAAGTCAGCGGTTAAGAAGGTTTAGATTAAGAAAAAAACATAAAAAAAGGTTTAGTTAAAAAAGTTCTTATTTAACCAACACCAATTCTCTGTGTCGAGACCTGGTGGTCTTCCTAAAGTATACGCGTTCTTTATACTTTATTTTTTATTCTTTGTATTTTAACAATACCTTCTCTTGAAATTTTCTTCTCTTATTTATTTGTACCTTCATTTTATATATTGTAATAAAGAACAAAAAAAAAAAAAAATAAAGAATTCGAACAAGGAAGCGTGTTTTTGTAAAATTTGTAAAGCCTAATTTTATTTATTATTATTACATGTCATTTTTATATTATTAATAACGTTTTTTGTTGTTGTTGTTGTTATTATTCCATTTTTACAATATTTATATTTGCTTATCTTTTGATTACGATTTCTATGCGGAGTTTATTTTTTATAGATTAAAGTTATAAAGGAAAATTTGTTCAAATCAGATCGTATTTACTATATTTTTAGATAAAGATGGACCAAATGGAGCACCCTTTAGTCCAAGTTCAATGCAAAAGATCCCATCAAATTTAGTTTCATCAAGGCATCAACTATATAATGGCAACCAAAAAAACAGTAAAAAGTTTGATAAAACTTTTTCTCAAAATAAAACATTTTCTCAAAATAAAACATTATCTAACCTTTATAAAGAATCATTTAACATACAAAAACAGAATAAAAGATTGCAAGCGAATATTTTGCAAGGTTTTCTAAGTGAAATAGCTTCGAATAAAAAGAAAAAGTTTTATGTATTTTTCAATCAAACTGTACCCACAAAAACTAAGTGTACCATCGTAAAACACCAAAAAAAACATAAAATAAAATGCGTCAGAAAGCGCATATCAACTGCTCATAAAAAAATAATACAGTTAATGAATGAAATAAAAAGTAATCAGAAAGAATCCTCAAAAGACATAAAGAAACAAGAAGCTAACACTCATAAAATTAACAAGGAGTTATCCAAAACACTAAAGAAGTTACATCCCCACACAGAGCATCTCCATACGGTATTCAAAACTAAAGATCATCACGGTAAACCATTTCAGGATCGTGGAGTCTTGTCAAAAACTCTTTCAAATGACACCACAATCCCACTCAATCTTTCAATAAAAGATTTGAGTTTAAAGGAAAAGTCAAAAATAAAGCATAAAGTTGAAACACACGAATAATAAGAATTTTCGATATAATTCGATAAAACAAAATCAAAAACAAAAACAGTGAAAAACAACTGCTCTGATTTAATTAAAAAGTTTTTTTTTTTTGTAGTTTTATTTTTTATTTAACTTTTTAGTTTATTTTTTTCGAATACTATATATACATCAATGAAAAATTGATAATTATTAAAATCTTGAAAAATACAAACATTAAAATCCTTGCTTTAAACTATTAAAGGTTAATGTTAAATGTCATTTTCAGTTCATAATTGTAAAAACTAAATGACCTAAATAAGTGTATGATTATATGAACTAATAGCATAAAAATTATATTTTCCATTAAAGATTATGTCAAATGATTGTCTTTATGATTTAATATTTATTTTGTTATGATTTTGATCATTATTGTAATCTTTATTATAGATTTATTTTTTTGTACAGAAAGTGGGTTAGCTATGTCAACCTAAAAGCTCTCTCATTTTAAGGGAAGTCCATTCATATTACCTATAATGCTTAAATATGTTTGGAAAAAAAAGTTTCAAAAATAATTATTGATGTTAATCATGATTTCAAAAAGTAAAGTTTATAGATGTTTGAGATGTTTCTTTAGGACCCTATTAAAAACTTATGTAATGTGTTTAATCACAAAAAATATTATAAGCAATTATTTTCTTCAAAAATATTGCGTTGGAAAGTCTGCAGAGAGTACATATGCATATGCAGAGTACATATGAGAGTATACTACACAATGCATCTTCAAAAGTAGATGTATCGTGTCTATAGGCAAATGTCTTTGGGTAAGTTTTTGAGATTATTGAATCATTCCTTTGTAACCGCAAAAAGAATATTCTTTATTTTATGGTAACTCCCAACTTAATTAGTGGTTGCTTGCAGTCTTGTCGGAAGTAAATTAGTTTATATATATATATATATATATATATATATATATATATATATATATATATATATATATATATATATATATATATATATATACATATATATATATATATATATATATATATATATATATATATATATATATATATATATATATATATATATATATATATTTAAACAATTTAAAATGTATTCTACAAAAAGAGTGCTCAATGTTCTTAAAAGAACAGAGCAATTACAAATTAGTAGAAAATCATTTAGCGAAATTTTTTCTCATTTAACACTGTGTTTCATCAATAAAGACTCATCAGAAATCATCAGACTCATCAGAAATCATCAATAAAGACTCATCAGATTTATGATGAGTCTTTTTTGATGAAACACAGTGTTAAATGAGAAAAAATTTTGCTAAGTGATTTTTTACTAATTTATATATATATATATATATATATATATATATATATATATATATATATATATATATATATATATATATATATATATATATATATATATATATATATATATATATATCACCATGATCGGTTGAAATTTTGACGATTTTAATTTGAGTTTTCGCAAAAACCACCTAATCAATTATTATGACTTTTTTTATAATGATGCTAACAGAATTAGTTTTCTTGTGTGTGAGTGTAGTTTTTTTTAATTGTTATAAAATGTTATAAGGAAAACAAAACTGTACAATAAAATTGGGTAATGGTGGAAAATCAAGATTTTTTTCCAAAAAAAACAACCAATAGTCGACTTAATTCATCAAAATCCGACTCAGTCACAACAAGATTTAGCTACGAAGTTTAAATGTAATAAAGCTTTCGTTCAAAGAGTATTTAAAAAAGAAAATATGAAAGAATATAACAAGAAAAAAATACCAAAATGGTCGCTTGATGGAGAAATCAAGGCAATTGGATTAGCTAAAAATTTGCTTAAATTAATTAAGAAAAAAAATTATGCATCTTAGAAGACGATGTAGCTTACTGTAAAAAAGATCACTTGATGTTTTCATGTAATCAATACTATTATCAGTCGAAACGTTATAAAGCTTTTGACAAATTTAAGTACATTGAGTAAGAAAATCACTTTTGAGTGATTTTCTTACTCAATGTACTTGATGAAAAAATTAAATTACTTGCAAGTCGTAAGGCTATATTTATTTTTATTAAAACAAAAAATTAATTATGTAAGCATCAAAATAAGTTGTCTTTGAGAAAACTCTATTTAAAATCGTCTAAATTTCAACTGATGGTAAAAAAGTGTTATAATTTGAAACAAAAACAAAATGATGTTATTGTATATCATATAATACCACAGTTATATATATATATATATATATATATATATATATATATATATATATATATATATATATATATATATATATATATATATATATATATATATATATATATATATATATATATTATACATAATACCACAGTTATAAAACAAACGCTAGCTTAATCTATTAATAATTTTTTTTGTTGGAATTGGTCCTAAATTGGCAACAAAAGTTCCAAACACCCAGGCTGTATTTAGTAATTTTTTAGTACTAATTAATGATTGCATTAATTCTAATGAATTGTCTTCAGCATTATCTTTTGAAGACTTTGAAAAAGCCTTCAAATCTAAAAATAAATACATAAAGCAACTGGTGCCTATGACATTAATGGTAATATAGTTATAGACTGTTTTGAACAACTAAAAGATATTCTATTTAAAGTTTTTGAAGCGTCAATACATCAAGAAATTTTTCCTGATCGATTGAACACCGCAAAAGTTACACCAATTTTTAAAGAAGGTGTCATAAAGTTTTTAGAATTTTTCCTGGATGAACATATTACATGGAAATATCACATTGATTACATTTGTACCAAAACTTCTAAAAATATTGGAATTTTGTATAAAACCAGAGATTATTTAAATAAAAAGAGTTTGTCCCAACTTTATTACTCGTTTATCCATAAATATTTTATTTATGCAAATATTGCCTGGGGAAGTACTAATAAAAACAGGTTGAAACGTCTTTGCAACCGTCAGAAGCTCGCAATTCGAATTAATATTTTTGCGGATCGTCTTACTCATTCGAAGCCTTTATTAAACGAAATGAGATTACTTAATACATATGAATTAAATGTATTTAATATCTTATGTTTTGTATATATGTGGAAAAATAATTTAGTTCTCAACGTTTTTAAAAATATCTTTACTTTAAAACCTGTCAATAAATATACCGTAAGAAATAATGATTTGCTAAACCAAATTTTTTGTCGAACCAAATAATAAGGTTATTTTTTCAAAATTTTGATTCGCCTTCTTCTTTCTCTATTTTTAAAGCTAAATTTAAAAGTTTTATTCTTTCCATGGATAACGTACTTATGTACTATTAATAGTAACATTTTGAAATTGTTAACGTCTGTTATTACTAAGCCAATTATTTTTGTATATATCAAATCATTTTACTTTGTTTATATATTTTTTTGTATTAGTCTATATACTTTATAAATTTTATTGTCATTCACCATTGTAATAATAATAACAATAATAATAATAATAATAAAAATATACAATACTGTTGAGATTTAACGCCATGTTAAATCTTTTACAGGTATAACAAGAAAGTTAAAGATAGTCAATTAAGTCTAGTTTAGCTTTAAATAAGTTGAGACTTTTAACTTCCACTGTTTCAATTAGTAAATTGTTCCAGAACTTGACTGTGCAATTTGTAAAAAAACCTTCACGATTTTGATTTAAATATTTCTTATCGGTGAATAAATGATGTTTATTACCTCGAATGTTTGAACACGGACCAGAAGAATTTAAAGAGTACGAATGTTGAGGGGGTATTTTCCTAGTTATTTTCTCTATATCATAATACCATTTGTACATTTGTATGAGATCTTCTTGTATTATTCATTTTTTTTTTCGTTATTGTAAGAAGTTTATTTATGCATTAAAAAAAAAACGGCTTATTTAAGGTTCTGATGACAAAATCTTCGTGATCTTCTTTCAGTTACCTTGTTTATATATTTTATCATTGTAAATTTGTAAAAGGTACTTGTAATTAGTATTTTTTTATTATTATCACTATATAATTGTACAACGACAAACTAATGTAAACAAAAAAACAAAAAAAATCTGACTAGCAACCAGTTAATGTCAGCGCGTAGCTGTAACTATATATAGTAAGAACGTAGCTAAAGCTAGTTGTAACTATATATTTACAATGTGGTGATGTTTATCTTGTGATGTACATTTACCTTTTTTTTTAACAGTTTCAATACTTTTTTCAGCAGCTTGCAAGCAATTGAGGAAAATAACTTTTAATCGGTAAATACAACATTTTTAAAACCGGCAACTATGTTTTTTGCTTACATCGTGATCTGACGAATATATATAATTTTAAAAATTTAATAATTTTATAAGTTATATAAGATATTTTTTTATAACTTCCAGTGATCTTTTCCAAACAAGTTTCCTTGTTTTTTATAAAAAGTTTTTAAATTTTTAAACAATTTGATTAAAACAATTATCTAAATATTAATAGAACAGTTAACGTTTAAAACTTCGTTTTAAAGTAGTTTCTAGGGTTTTTTAAAGTGGTCTTTTTAAAGTGGTCTTTCAAGGAAGGTCTGCAAGCAAAATAGAGTTGATAAATCTCTCACAGCTTTCAAGGAAATTTTAAGTTTGTTTTTTTTCAATTTAATTTATTTTATCAGTGGTTTCAATAAATAAACGTTAGTTTGTTGCGTGTTTTTCGTTTTCTAATTTAATTTAAATTATATTATAGAAATAAATTATAGAAAGATAAAAATGACTAGATTTACGCAACCGAATTTTGTGTCACTTTTTTTTTAATTTTTTTTGAGGTAACGCCAGAAAAGAGTTTTGTTGTGGTGATTCATTTTAGAATTCTATACAAACATAGATTATTTTTGAAAAGAAGACACACTTAGTTAGATTTTTATGTGAAAATTACGTATGGATGATATATTTACTTTGATATTCAAAATTTACTTGCTGTTGTCACGTGAAATCGGTGTCGAAAGAGTGCTGAGATATTATTTTTACACATATTTTTATGCACCTGCTAAATACATATAAATATTACCCCAGATACACTAAGAAACGCCACAGCTTTGTACCTAATTTTTTTATTTACATAAATGGAATAAGATATACATGTGTATGTATATCTTATTCCATAAGATGTAAACCTCGTAGAGCTTTGCTTACATTACAAACTATATTTATTCCCAGATCGATCCCATAACCACTTGCGCTACATAAAAAAGCTAATTATTAGAGATGCCTACTTTTCAGTACTAAATTTGAATCTGTACTCTTTTTCGTTTTCAAATAAAATGTCAACGGCCAATTTTAAAGTTTATATATATGTATACATATACATATACACACACACATATATATATATATATATATATATATATATATATATATATATATATATATATATATATATATATATATATATATATATATATATATATATATATATATATATATATATATATATATATATATATATATATATATATATATATATATATATATATATATATAACAAAATGAGTTCAGTACAGTACAAAAAATGGTGATTAAAGCAATAGACAAATTAAAACTAACCCTTCTTTAAAATGTATTTAGATTTTAAATCTATAAATAAAAATTATGTTTTTCTATAATTTTACTTTTATTATTTATAAACAATCAGGGTGGCCAACAACTTGGACATTCTGCTAAAGTCATGAAATTAAACTAATTATGCAAAACTCAGGGAATTTTGATTGATTAAGTTATTAATTGAATTAACAATCAAAATAAGATTATAAAAAATGTATTTTTAAAGTCTCATAATAACATCATTATTTAAAAGTCAAGGAGAGCACTTATGAAGCAAGTTTACACAAGCACTTGCCTCAGAAACGTTAGATGCGTGGTTCAAACCCCACCTCTGGGCGAGTTTTGCGACATTGGTTGGGAAGAAGGCGTGAACTTCTTATTAAATGCTTTTCCGCGGTGCTCTGTGATAAGACCGTAAGGACTTCTTGGGGCACCTTAATCAACCAAAGGAAAAAAAAAAAATAATAATAATGTTTTTAGGTAAAAGTAAGGGCTAAGTGAAATTTATTGTTGCTTTGTATGTTTAAGTTTTAGGAAAAAATCATGAAAAATGAAAATGAAAATTTGCTGGCCGCCCTGAATAAGTAGATTTACATTAATCAGCTACACTTATATTAAAATGATCAAAGGCATTCATATTCAACACGGTATTATCTAACAAATTAAGTGATCCTCGCAGTCAAATAATTAACAGGAAACATTTTATACATCAAATTCCTCTATTCACGAACATTTTATATGGATACAGTTTTTTTTTAAGCTGATTTAGGTGCCCCAAGAAGTCCTTACAGTCTTATCACAGAGCTCCGCGGAAGAGCATTTAATAGGAATTTCACGCCTCCTTCCCAACCGATGTCGCAAAACTTGCCCAGAGGTGGGGTTTGAACCACGGATCTTACGTTTATGAGGCAAGTGCGCTACCACTGCGCCACGACTGCCTAATATATAATCTAAAGATACAACCATATTATTATTTTACATAAAAAACCATATTATTATTTTACATAAAAAAACGCAGTAGTTATTAAATAAGGGCAGCGATAAGAATAAGCACTCAGTCACCAAGTTTAAGTTTCTTATAGAAGATTATTCTGATATAGTAATCTGTCTGATACACAACCACCCGGTCAAAAGATAAAAAACTTTTTGCCCCAGCTAGTTTTTATTATATACCAATTAGACATTGGTATTGATGTGTTTATAAATAACCAAGTTTGCTATGGTGAAGTTAACTTTTTATTATATTGTGCTTTATTAGCACAAAACAAAGATGGTCCTCCAACATCAAGCGCGAGTGAAGTAAGTTTTAACTTTTTCAAAGAGCTTTATTACCATTTATTATAAGTCTGGAAAAAAAAACTTTTCTTCATCTGATGTTAGATTTTCGTATGAAATATGTTTACTTTGTTCAAGTCAAGCTTATTTTTTAAGTTAACTAATTCAATTAAGTTTAGTACTGTATTAATTGAAAGTAAAAAATTTAAAATATTTAGAAATAGTAAACTTTTATTAGGTGGTTTGGTGTCATAATTTATTTTCTCAGTAGAGTTATCAAGCTCTATGTCTATATACAATGTATAATTATCAAGCTCTATATCTATATGCTAATGTGAGGATCTTTATCAATATTATCATCTACGATATAGAGCTACGCTCTATATCGTAGATGATAATATTGATAGGGATCCTTACATTAGTACTCTTTTCTTTTTTTTTGATTGAACTAGAAATTGGAGCAACTTCGAGGGAGGTATAATCGGCAGAGCAGTGCAGATTGGCAGAGCAGATTATTGTAATGTTGATAGCGGCAGAGCAGATTATCCAATCAGCCGTTTTCTAATGTGTGATCTGCCAAATATTATTTGGCAGATCACACATTATTTAAATATTATTTGGCAGATCACGCATTATTAAAATATAATTTTGCAGATCACAAAATAGAAAACGGCTGATTGCCTGTCTGTGATAATCTGCTCTGCTGTTATTATTATTACAATAATCTGCTCTGACAATCTGCTCTGCCGGTTGCATTATGATCTGCCAAAATATTTGGCAGATCACACATTAGAATACGGCAGATCACTTTTTTTGTGGAAAAGTGTTGCGACAACAAAAAACGTTTATGTTTAAAAAGTCAACTCATAGTTCTTTCTATTCGAAGTACATCGTTTTTCATAAAAATTTTTGGCAATCACATGATAAAAATTCTATTAAATGATCTGCCGAATTATTTGGCAGATCACACATTAGGAAACGGCTGATTGAATAATCTGCTCTGCCGTTATTAACATTTCAATGATCTGCTCTGCCAATCTGCTCTGCTCTGCCGATTGTACCTACCCCCAACTTCGATGCTATGAAATGTTAGGGATTGCTTTAATCCAATCTCTGTCTTCTTTTAAAAGCTGATTTTCCAAAAGAAACTTTATAAATTTTAAAACCTTAAACTAATGTATTTGCCAAGGTTGACGTAAAATATTGAAACTTTATTTCTCAAATATCGATTGTGATGTATTTTGAGGTTTTGCATTTTATTTAAATAAATTGAATAATTTGGAACTTTTTCAGAGTTGAGGTAAAATAGAGTATAAATAAAAAATATATATAATATATACATAACAGATTCTTTTATAAATATCTAAGAAACATCAAAGTTAAAAAAGACGTTGAATTTTTAAAGTTAAGTACACATTTTATATCGCTTTACTTTTTGACGTGACCGTGTTTTTCCAATTCGGCTCTAAAATATAAAAATTAATATCTAAATATAAATTAATATCAAAAATTAATATCTAAATATAAATTAATATCAAAAATTAATATCTAAATATATGGGTTCAAAAAAATATAAATAAATTTCATAAAAATAGACACACTAAAACTGTCAATTATTTTTTTAAAAACACCATTAAAAAGTAAACAAATTAGCTAAAGGCATTTTTTTTGTACAAAAAAAATATTTTTTCAATAGCTAATTATAAAGTAAGATTGTATTTTTATTGTTTTAGTTTTTATTAATTTACTTCCATCGAGAACATTAAAAAAAAAAAAAATTTAATTCTATTCTACTTTTTTTTATATACTATATAAGTTAATGTAATTATATACAGTGGTGGATACGGACTTTTCATATAATTAATCAAAGATTCTATTTTCAAAGTATTTTAAAAAAAAATCTTTTATTTTGAGTTAAAGCCTCTCTTAACCCAGCACTGATTAAATATTACTAAATAAATACTCTTACAACTGGATTTTTAGAAAAAACAAGTTAAAGATTTTAAGAATTTTTATTTTAGATATATTGATGACTATTTCCTAACACGTCTATCTTTATGGTAACAAGTTTAGAAATTCTTTAATTGAAATTGATAAACTAGCTTTAAAATTACTCTTAGTACCAAATCAACTTTTTAGATATTATTTATTTTTGAAAACATAAGTTTCTGTTAACATGGTAAGTAATTTTCTTTTTTTTTTTTGAATGTTAATTTACTATTTCATGGCCAAGAAGGCCTTGAGGAGGTGAATTAACTACAGTTGAGGAGGCTACTTAAATTGTGGTTACAACCCTCTCTTAACTCTATAATCCCAAAGGAAAAACATTGACAAACAAAGCCACTGTGCAGAGAAACAAGTCAAGCGCGGTACTACCAGGGAAGTGGTAGGGATTGAACTTGAAACTTCTCGCTTATGAGGCGAGTGCTCTACCACTACACCGCTACCGCATTCACCATGGTAAGTAAGTTTCTGTACTTGTAAGTTTAGTTCATAACAAAACATAACATATTAAAACTCAAATAATGATCCTAAAATTTTAGACAATATTTCAAGATTACGTTTCAGGACATACTAATAAAATCGTAAACTAAATTAGAAAAAAACTGTCTACAAGGAACAATAAAATTCAATTGTTAACTTATTCAAACGTTAACATACAATAAGCAACCTTGAACTTATTTAATGAATAACAACATGCCAGCGTTGCCGAGGGATAGCATGCTGAGCTTCTGAACAAATAAGGTGCGGTTGGAATCCTACCTGGTAATTTTTTTTTTTTTTTAATAAATTAAAATACAAAATACTTTTGAAGTTTTATAAAGATTATATACAAACATATGTAACGATATTATACACTTTAACAAACGAAAAGATTATAAAAAAGCTAAAATTTCTAAAAACACCAAGAGAAAAAAAATTGTTGTGTATGTGTCATGATGGAGATATTTATGTTATTAATGTGCTCAAGTAATGAGTCCTAATAAGCAGCGGATGGTCTGAAAAAGACTAATTACTTAAGCACATTAATAACATAAGTATCTCAATCATGATACAACTAAAGTTGTCTGAAACTTAATAAAGAAAAAACTTAATAAGACAGTCCTGCAACTCCAGTAGGTGCTGTTGTGAATCAAAAAAAAAAAAAAAAAAAAAGCCAGCAGCTAGAAAAAACTTTTAAACTTTCTTTTGACAATTAAAAATTTTTTTTGCTATAAATATATGCTGCAGCCGTTTTTCAAAGCACCATAATATTTTTATTACGTATTTCGAGAAAAACACATTTAAAAAAATTATTAAGAAAACTCTTTGTAAAACGTTTTTTGAAACAAACAATTTTTATGAACTTTTTCAGAACTCTTTGAAAATATGTATTGAAAATATGTATTTGTAGACATCTAAACTAGCTTATTTTGTAAAAAAGTCAAAATTTTTTTTACCCTAAGGCATTTTGAAAAATGGCTGCAGTATGGATGATAGAATGAATACGTTTAAACAAAAGCCACTAAATCAAAAAAAAAATTAAAAGTAATTGCAGTTCAGTGTAATTAAAAATTTAAAGTATAGTATATTGGTGTTTGCAAAGAAACATTGTATCAATCATTTTTTAATATAAAACTAATTTTTTTTTAAACTTTGTTGTATTGGCAGGTTTCGCGCTTAACCATCTCTATATGAACAATATATATAAAAAAATATGTTATTTGTTTATGTATATTGCTTATAAAATGTAAAAAATCCATTTATATAACATTTTATTCAGGATCGTATGTAATAAAAGTAAACTTTTCTATAGAAAATACATACAAATAATCAAAACAAAACAGCTAAAGTTTTTTTATTTTGATTATTTGTATGTATGTTATTATATTAAAAAAAAACGACAAGATTGAAAAAAACACAAAACATATTGTCTCATCCAAGTGGAAATATTGAAATTTTAATTTTAGATTTGCCCCTCTCTTGACAATTTCTGATTGCTAAAGTTACATTATCTGCTTCGGTAGATGATAGAATCAAAAACCTATTCAGACATTTAAAGTTTTGTGTAAATTAATGACTCAATAATAAATCAATGTTTTTAATAATTGCATATCGTAAAAAACAAACTATATATTTATAATTTACTTCTATGTATATATGTTTAGCTTAGCCTTGTGGCTCATAATTTGGCCTTGTCGCCTGGTGACACGGGATCAATTCCTTTTGAGCGCTTTGTGTGTACTTTTATGTTATATTTTAAAGTATTTAGTTCTAGTTTTATGCGTAATGTCTAGATTGCTGTTAATAAAATTTTTTATTTATTATAAAAATTAGTAAGTGTGCACACATAGACTGACTTGAACATGTAGAACAGGGAGTGTACTTACATCAACTGAATAAATAGGTACAAAATGTGGGAAATGTTCATACATGGCAGACTTAAATAGGTAAAACATGCAGGGAGTGTACATACATCGACTGACTAAATTGGTAGAACTTGCAGGGTGTGTACATACATCAACTGAGGGTTTCGGTTTGGTCAGGCAATATGTTAAAAAGATAGTTTTTGTTAAGAAGTGTTTAAAAATTAATGCAAACACTTATTTTGTTATATTAAGGTCATCAATTTACACAAAACTTCAAACTTTGGAATAGGTTTTTTGATTTTATCATCTACCATCCGCTTCTTAGACCATTAAAAATGATAGTTGAGGCGTAAATTGTAGAAACCACAATTTTTTTGCGTATGAGACATCATTTTATGACAAAAAAACTAGAAAAACAAACTAGAAATAAGATTTTATTTAAATTTATTAAAAAAACTCCTTCTATTAAAGATATATGGAATATATTTTTATGGTATATATTCTAATAAAGACAAAAACTATATATTTATGTATTACTATTGTAATAAATACAATCTCTTATCCGTAAAATGATATATATGTACCAGTTTTATATATTTTTATACAATTTTATGCAACATAATTTAAATTAATCAAAAAATGTAAGATAAATGCAAAAGGCAACTTGTCAGATAAAAGTTTATTTTGCCACAACATGATGTCAATGTGCAAAAATTTTTTGGCTTAACTGTTAGATTATTGTTTAATAGCTGAGGCTATTATTCTTTAGTTTTTAATTATAATCATAAGAATGAACTTTTTTTTTATGACTAAGTTTTATTGGTTTAAGATCTTCTTAGATCCATTTGTATAGTGTTACGTACAAATGTTTGTAAGTGTAAACATCTTTAGCATATGTTGAGTTTGCAGGCATTATATAGAGATAATGGCGTATAATATATCTTTAAAATGAGAAAACTTAAAAATTTTATTTTAAATTTTGGAAATCTTTTTTGCTATATTATTATTATTTTGCTATAAATATATAAGTAAGATTTAAAAAATTTCAAAATTTATTACGCTTAGTAGAGGTCTTAAACCCCCAAAACAAAACTGATGACAGTATACTTAACCACTGAGCTATCAAAGAAATGCATTTAGCAGAAAAACAAAACTAATAAGTCTCTTATAAATTCTATGTATGTGGAAAAGGTGTAGATGCTTTTTTTGGAATAAATTATTCTACCAAAAAATATTGAAGTAAAAAAGGAATAGGTATATAAATAATCGGTGTGGAATAGATATGTATTGAAATGATAGGTTTGGCAAAGACCCGTATTTTACGGATTGGATATATAAGCAAAAAGTATAGAAAAGTTTGGTTTGTAATAGACTTAGAAAGACCCGTATTTTAAAGGGTCCAATCTCAGCTTGCATATAATAATAGGATAACTTTTTTTTTTGATTGAATACTACCTTTATTATATATTTCAAAAGTGTTAGTTCTAACTAACAATGTTAACAATCAATATGTTAAAACAAATTTAATGTTCATTTTTTATATCAAATGGCTTTATAAGGATAATTTTCTGTAAAATTTGTTTCTAGTGTACCTAAAACTCTAAACAATATTTGGTCACTTTTTTTTCTCCACCCATAAATCCCAACTATTCTTAAGTTATGAATTCTCTTTAATCTCTCCCCTTTAGTCCCAAATAGTAACAATGAAACACAAACAAAATAATTTAAAAACAGTTTAGCAAAAACAAACAAAAAAACACTAAATAATAACTTTTGTTCATTTTTTGTTCACCTAATCCTGTGGACTATTTATAACTTCTTATTTTAGTAATATTTAATTTGAAGTAAATGATAAAATTAAACCATAACAATGTAAAGAGTTTTAATCTAAGAAGTTTTTCTTGACCCTAAACAGAGATTTTTAACACAATTTCACTGTTCCACATTGAAATAAACTTTGAAATGACAACACAGCTCTCAATAAACTTTGTGTCATTAAAAAAGCCATCACAATACTATTTGAAATTATTTGTTATTAAAATTGTTATTAAAATTATTTTAGCCATAAAAGCATCCAAAATGCACTGAGGTACCTAGGCACGCAGTGCTTAATATAGGCACTTTTTTATTAAATGAAAAATTTAACTTTAGTAACAAAAATTAATGATTTTCAGTATTTTTCTAGATATCATCCTAAGCATTGTAAAGTTAAGGGAGATTTTTGAAAAGGTTTCTGGATAGCCCCCTATTTCATGTCGAACAGTGTATACATGTATCTAAATACTTACTAGTATTAAAAATTTTTAATTTTTTAATGTTATTTCTAGTACACTTTACTTAGAATATTTCTGATCTATTTTGAGAAAAAATAAATGATTTACCAAAACATTGAATGCTTAAATTATGAATAAGAAATATTTTTAACATACTAACAAATTATGAATAAAAAATATTTATAACATATTTAACAAACATAAATGTTTAATGGTTCATCAAAATGTTCACAAAGCATTTTTAATTTTTATTATATATTTTAAAATTTACTAAAAATTCAGACAAATTTAGACATTCAAAACCGATTTGAGTAACTTTCAAATCTTAAGTAAACACCTTAGTTGTTGAGAAAAGTCATCTTCAATATTATCATCATCCCAGTCATCTTCCCAGACATGAAGATCTTCTGCATTTTCATTCTTTTCAGTCCAATCTATAATCAAAAGCTTTAAATATGTACAAAAACAATTAGTTGGACATTGATGTTTCTAATTCATCAATCAGAAAAGCTATATAAATAGTAGAACTTTTGTAAAGAAACAATATTTGATTATATATAATTTACCATGAACATGAGAAAAAGTGCTCACCGGAGGAAAAAAGTGCTCACCGGAGGAAAAAAGTGCTTACCGGAGGCTCATTATTGGACTAGTGTTAGATATAAAAAAAAATTCTAATATAATTTTTTTTATCACTTTTTTCCCCTTTGAAAACAAGCATTTTATCAATCTTTCATTGTGCTACCAGCCAATATACTTATGGCAGAAACTAGGTGAAATCACTTTAAACTTCTGTGCCTATCTTTGTAATTACAAATAAATTTTACCAACTTTTACAGATCTTTTATATTGAGCAACATTTAGATAACTTGTGGGGTTTTAAACAAAAATAATGTTTTTTACAGGTTTTCTGTATTTTAACATACAAAAAATAAGATTAAGTTTACCCTTTTTGCATTTTTCTGGTTTAGAGTAACTGGTGTAATAATCTAATTATCACATTCTAAATTATAAATTTGATAAATAAGCCATTGTCACAAAAATCAACCTTTTAACAAAGATGAAAAATAGATACAAATTATATAGCGAACTTACTTAATAATACTCACTAACTAAAGTCACACTTTTGTCATTGAATATTATAGACTTTAGGATGTAAACAATGTATTAAATGTTAATTTGCATCAACAAAAGAAGCAAAAAGTACATAATTGAAGTCTCACGCAACATTCATTTTGAAATGTTTTGCTATTGTAATATTAACAGAATATTGATAAATAAAAAAACTTATGAGTAATAGTGTGCTAAGTGTTTACTTTGCACTATTACTCATATTGCACACTATTATTTGCACAGTTGGACTAAAAATTGGTTTTTAATAAGTTTTGTTCATTAGTGAAATGATATGCAAAATTAGCATTGAATTATTTGTGTTGACCAATGGCAGATGGATTATAGTAAAGTAATATTTTTTTAAACTTTGCTTCTGAACCAGTATTTGTACCAACAAGTATTTGTTAACTAGAAAATAATTCATTTAATTAATATATAATTTACATTGTATAGGTGTTTATGTATTGTAACAGTGTTTGTCTAATTAATAATCAAATGAAAATATTAGTTAAAACAGTCATTTTCGTGCACCAAGGTTAGCTTTGTTTGAATATATATTTTTATTTTAACATCATATTAAGAATTTAAAGTATAAAATTATTTTATCAACTATTTTAGTTTAATAGAATAAAAAATTAAGATCAGGTCAATTAAATAGTATGAAAATTCCAGGTCAGGTTAGGTTTATGAACAGGTGATTGAGATAATCATCCTGCTACTAGTATCATGTAATACCTGACCTATATTCTGCCTGCCCAATATCACTTTCATCTTATACTCCTTCTTCACACTCACCCTATCATCGCACTATTTACTACTACCCTAGATGATTGGAATTTTTTTCATGATTTTTTATGTGATGGTACTTGAACAAATGTATTTTTTCTTTTCACTGTTTAATATGCCTTCTATGTAACCTCCTGGATAGGTATGGAACCTTTTATTCCTTCTTGTCAGTTCTAAGTTCTCATACTATTCAATGGTTTTCAACTTCTTGTAAAATATCTATATCTAATAGTAACAGTTTTTGCGTCTTTTTGCAAAAGAAAAAATCTTGAGAACAAACAACTTTTTATTATTGCAAAAAATCAGACAGTACCTAATGTAAAAAAGTACTGTCTGATGCTAAGCTCCATAGGTGCCATGTGGTCCTAGAGACCATGCAAGATTCCCACTAGGGTATTTTGTTTTTATCTAAGTATAGACGTTTTACCAATTTTTACTTTTTTCTACATTCTGAAGAAAAACCAAGAATATGTTTATATTTACTTTTTTCTACATTCTGAAGAAAAACCAAGCATTTTCATGGGCTTTTTTGAAAAAATAACAAAACTATTGTTTTGTTATTCTTTGCTTGTTGACAATTTTAAAATCATAAATTTTTGCTTGCTGGCAACTAAAAGTTAACCGTTTATAATGATGCTCAAAAATGATTAAAAATATTTTGTTCACCAAAAAAAAAGTAAAAATTTCAATCCTTCTGACAATATAGTATTTGCGAAATTTAAAAATGAATGAACTTGATCTTTAGCTCGCTTTTTTATTTGGCGTTATTAAAACAAAAACTATTTTAGAAAGTTTTGTTTCTCTTCATATTCTTCTCGACTTGAATAAAAATAACAACAAAAATAAAGTAGAAAACTTTTATAAAAAGTTTTAGTTATTTTTAAACTGTAATGTCTTAAATTTTTTAAAAATCCATAGTAAATATAACTTATTTAATCTACACAATATTTTTATTATAAATAATTTTTTTTAATTCAATTGTTAAAAAAAGGCGTCTTAAAGCAAAGTTATTAGTAAAACTGTTTATTTAACTTTTAGTAAAAGTTAAATAAACAGAAATGATAATTTTGAATCGAAATTAAAATTAAAATGATAACAACTAAGCTTAAGCGTAGTTACTATCATTAAGAAAAAACAAAACATAATCGTTTAATAAGCGCTTATTTGCTTAAACTATTATTTTTTTATTATTTTTATGTCTTTATATGTTTTAATGTCTTAACATGTTATATATATATAATTTAATCTGTTAATTATAATATAATTTATATATATATAATATAATTTAATCTGTTAATTAGTGACAAACATAATTAGTTTAATAGTGGCGTTGGTAAGTGACATCACTAATTAAATGAATTGGAAAAGTTTGATAAATTTATCCAATTTATCAAACTTCCTTTAAAAAATTTATCAATTTATTAAGAAATAAAATGAAAATCTGCATGCTTAATTTTAAACTATTAAAATTGGCGTGTAATTTTAATGTTAGTTATTTGCAAGTTTAAAAAAGGAATACTAATTCGTTAATTATCAAATATTAAGTTATTTTTGTATCTATAAAGTTCAGCCATGAAGAACTATTACAAAGATTGAAATGAAAACAAAGAAACTAATAAAAATGTTGACCTTCCAAAAAATATATATATTATATATATATATATATATATATATATATATATATATATATATATATATATATATATATATATATATATATACCAGGGGCTATTCTAGACCATTTTTGACAGCGGCGACTGTATTTGGGTGCCACCCAATTTAAAATTTGAGGACCTTTATTTTATGCTTTTACGGCAAATCTTTTTTTTTTTGCTAAAAAACACATGTACACATCTTCTTATTTTAAACAAAGCAATTTTTGTATAAAACTATCTTCTAAGCAAAATTATACCTTCTGTTGGAAACTCTTCAAAATCATCATCTTCTTCTAAAGCTCCAAGATCAAACTTCTTTTCATTATCTTTTAAATCTTTCTTCTGCTTTGAATCTTTACCAGATGACATGATTATAATTACTTTAAAACCAAGGTAAAAAAAATGCAAGTATTTAAAAAGTGATTTTAATTATTTATTTTTAGGCCTTCAAGTTATTTATTTTGAAATAAACATAAAACTTTATTATTTCTAGTTTTATAATTTTATTATAAAACTCTTTAAAAAAAATTAACACAATAAAATGATATTTTTAGTGTTTAGAAAAAGATTTAAAATATTCCCATAAAATAAATTAAATTATTAAACTATTGTAACTAACAGTATTTTAGCTGATATAAAATCATAATAAAAAATAATCATGAATATTTTTTAATACTAATATGTATTTCTATTTAACAATGTGCATATAAAATAAAAACCTAACATATCTATTATCAAACAATCCATTTCATACAACGAGTGTCCTTATGTGTTTTTAAGCAGCTTACACAGCAATATCGCACACCACATGTTACACATGTATAGCTTGAAATAAAACCGCACACAGAACAAAAATGACGCTCTGGCAATTTTGATTTTGGTGCCACTGCATTAAAATAATCTGGTGTGTTTTCTTTTCTTTCAGCTTGGGCTTCTTCTAAAAGGGCTGGAAACGAACGCTTGGCTTTATGTTTAAATATGTCTCCAAGTTTAAGCTTTCGCTTTTTTTTAGATTCCATACTATCGCTAAAAGATGGTAATTTAGTTTTTGCAACATACAAATTCATTTGTTGGTGAGGATCTTCATGAAAATTGTCATTTTCCAAAGATGCTAATTGTCTTTTTTGTCTTTTAATTCTTGTTTCATGATCAATAACACGATTTTTGCTTAGATCTTTAATTCTGGAAGAACCACGTTTTTCTGACATTCCCATTACTGTTGGTTAAATTTTTTTTCCATACTTATTATGTAGAATGAATAATTTTTTAATTGACTAACCTATTTTATCATTTGGCCTTCCTAATTACTAAATATTTTAATCATAATGTCTAGCTTTTATAGATGAATCAAACAAATATATCATAGATAAAAGTAACTATTTAAATCATAAAAATGTATAAAAAATTCTTTTTATATAAAAATGCAATGTATTAACATATTAACATACCTAAACAGTTTTGAGAGAATAAGATATTAAATATATTTAATTATAGTAAAAAAAATTAAATATAAGCTAATTAGAATCTATTTATAGCTCTACAGAATAAAAAAGTGATTGACAGCTTTTTTAAAAGACCATTTTTTTTTTGTTTAAATTATATTGAAACTCTTGATTATCAGAATTTTCTCCTTTTTTTTAATTATTTTTATTATAATTTTTAAAAGTATTTAACTTCACTGTTATCAAAATATAAAAACGCTTTTATTACAAGAAGTTTTTAGCAAGATAATGCACAACAATCTTTGCTTTATTTCTTCATCAATTTATCAAATATATATTCAATTATATATATATATATATATATATATATATATATATATATATATAATATATATATATATATATATATATATATATATATATATATATATATATATATATATATATATATAAAACATAAAAACATGAATGCATAAAAATTTAATTAACACATTCGATACTTAAACTTAATTCATTTAAAAAATAAAAATTAACATGGTTAAAATCATTATTTCTTTCTTAAGTTAGTTTTTAGTTCTGGGGATCATCTATATCAAAGCGTTGAAACGGTACATTATTAAACCGGACCACATGTCCGTGAGTATAAAGAGCCATTCTATTTTTATTTATTATTATTATTTATTTATTTTTTTTAGGGGGGGGGGGGAGACAGACTAAAAAGCCGAATTCTAAAACGCCAAAAAACTGAAATACCGAAAATAAAATGGCATAATTATAGATTAGGTAAGATTTTTTTTTTTTATGTTCTTTATTACAATATTTATGATACAGATACAAGTAATATATATTAAAAAAAGAAAAGTTAACAAGTCAAGAAATCTTTAAGAATTAAAGAATAAAAATAAATGTAAAGAACGCGGATAATCAAAGAAGACCATCAAGTCTTGTCACAGAGAAACCGCTATTGAAGAAATTTAAACGTTTTTTTTTTTTTTAATTTCAATATTTTCATTCTTTGTATTTATTTATTTTTGTTCAATTTCTTTTTATTATAAAATTAAATTTAATAATTTTAAAAATCTTTGCAAGGACATCGCAAATGGCGGAAGCGTTTAATTAACGGTGAAAAGGAAAAAAAGAGAAAAGGAAAAACGAAAAAAAAGTTTTAAAGAACAAAAAAGATAAGTTAAAAATAAAGTGAAATAACAAAAATATTAAAAGGAATAAACGAACTAAAAGATTAAAGAAAAAATAAAACAAGAAAATGAATAAAAAAGTAAAACGAACAATAAAATAAAACAATCAGTTAAATACACCTTGATTCCTTTCTTCCCTTTAATTTATTGTTAAAACATTTCAATAACTTATAGTAATTCATTCTTGTTCAGCAACTTTTCTGTCATGATACTTTTTTCCCACAAGGCTACGCTTAAGATCAATTGAGCCCATGGATACCTTCCTATCAGTCATCGTGCTGATCAAAAACTGTTTATCCTCTTTATTAACGTATTTATCTAGCACATCTCGTAGCTAGAACCTCATTGTTTTTGTAAACTTGTTTTTTTTTGTTTTAAAAAAAAATTGGCTACTCTTATCAGTGTTTCTATAGGTATGGTCAATTTTTGCAGGCTTTTTAACTCAATAAATAGTTTCATTATTTCCTATGCCATTTTCTTTGGTTACTTTTTCATTAATTATAAAACGGTAAATTTAGTTTAACGGATTTATTTGCAGCCTCTCTTTTAGTTTGTGTGTTAAAGTGTGCAAGAAAACATAAATGCACCTAACGAACAGTGGCCACTGTTTGTTAGGTGCATTTATTTTTTCTCTATTTTTAAACAAAATTGTTAAAGTAAAAAATTAAAATTAAAAAAAAATGACAAACTGAAGCTCATTACGCTTTTACAACTCAATCACATTATAAAAAATCAAAAGTGGTCAGCCTAGATCCTTGCATATCTTTTCAGATTCAATAGGGATAGTTTATAGGATGAAATAACTTAGACTTTTGATTTTTTATAATGTGATTGAGTTGTAAAAGCGTAATGAGCTTCAGTTTGTCATTTCTTTTTAATTTTAACTTTTTACTTTAACAGTTTTGTATAAATTAAAAAACTATAAATTATTACTTAATTTTTTTCTATTTTAAGAAGTTGCTTGATATAAGCAGTGCTGGATTAAGGGAGGGGGGCTAGCAATGGCGGATTGAGACTTCTTGGAGCCCGGGGCTATTTTTGTCTTTGGAGGCCTTTTTATGGGCCAGAGCCTAAAAATAACTAAAAAAAAAGTTGTCTAAAATTTTTTGGCCCCCCCCTTGATCCAGCACTGGGGGCTAGGGAGGCTAAAGCCCCGGGCCCCACAATTTTGGGGGCCCCAATTTAAAGTAAAAGATTTTTCATTAACTCTGAAAATTAAATCTTTTATTAAGGTGGTAGCTGGTAAAAAAAACAATTTTCTTTAATATTTGTTCTTTGATACCGAAACAAATACATACAACAGCTATCATAGAAATAAATATTTCAAACAAACAAAAAATTTTAAAAAATTAATTAAAAAATCAACTAAAAAACAAAACATTATCATTTGAAGATCTACAACTGGTATCAGTATGAAATTTGCTACAGCAAGACAATATATGCTTTTTTTTACGTTCTTTTTATTTATTCAAAATAACTATTACAATCAAATAAAAGAAATAAGAAATGCATACAAATAAAAATTACAACTTTTGTTAAATATAAAAAAAGAAGAACGCGGTGATTTGCAGAAGACCTTATGATCTTGTCATCAACAACCGCTTACAACTGACAATCATTTCGTATTTAAAAACAATTTCGTAATGTATATAAAATTAATAAACTAAGTCTAATAAAGTTTTTAAAATAAAAGTTAGAAGTAAAAGCTAACGTTTTGCATCAATATATAAAATGCAAAATGAATAATATAAAATGTATAAATCAACATGTACATGCTTAACTAGTGCCTAAAGCAAAAGTTTTCAAAACTAATCAACTGTTTCAAAAGGGCGGAGATTTTTTAATTTTTGTATTTTTCCATAAACAATTCAGTAATTGGTGATTGATATTTCATTATCTGATATCTCATATCTTTGAGTATATAGCTTTATTCTGCTTTAGACACAATATATGTAATTAATAAAATATGTGTAATTAATAAAATAATTTTAAATCTTTTAAAAAAGTAAACGAATCGAAGCCATATAGTGAAGATTTAGAACCAATAAAATCTGAATGTGTAGGTCATGTTCAAAAGAGACTCGGTACACGACTCCGTAAACTTTGTGTTAGCATGAAAGTTAAAACCTCATTAGTTGGCAAAGGACTTAGCAATAAAGGAAGGTTAACTGATAAAATAGTCAATATAATGCAAAACTATTTTGACATGACCATTCGCCAAAATTCTATTGCTTGTTGGGATGGTAAAAAAATACTGCTTTGTACATGATGAAAAAAGGAGTGCTGACAGTGTTATGGCACTGTACAGGTATTGAAGATCCTGAAATACGTCACTAGTTTTGTCCCCGCACTGATGATAGTTGGTGTAATTACTGGAAAAATATCATGAAGTACAGCCATCAGTTAGTGAACTATTTTTGGAAAAATACAAAAATTAAAATAATCTCAGCCACTTTGTAACAGTAGATCAGTTTTGAAAACTTTTGCTTTAGGCACTAGTTAAGCATATATTGTCTTGCTGTGGCAAATTTCATACTGATACCAGTTGTAGATCTTCAAATAATAATGTTTTGCTTTTTAGTTGATTTTTTGAAATTTTGCTGACTCACTAAAAAATAATTAATTTTTAAAATATTTTTTTGTTTGAAATATTTATTTTTATGATGGCTGTTGTATATATTTTTTTCAGTATCGAACAACAAATATTAAAGAAAATAGTTTTTTTACCAGCTTACCAAAAGCCAAAGTTAAACTTACTAAATTGTCTAATAAAAAAAAAAAAAAAAGACTGTCGACAAAAACGCTGCATTAAATTTTTTTGTCCGGTCTTGGACTAACAGAGGAGCGCTAATCACTTCTACGAAATAAATTACGAGATTGGTAGCAGCGCCTTATATCAAAAATCGAATGTAATATTTGTACAGTTTGCTACAAAAACCCTTTAGAAAATTATTAATAACTTGAATAATTATATTCTTTGAAAATGATTGCAACAATTCTTTTGTTCTTCCACACAAAGGAATTCTTGTGTGAATGCATACAAAAGCTGTAGCGTTAAATTTTCGAAAGATAAAATTTAAGAGGAAAAAAAACGAATAACTTTATACTTTTCAGGTTATACAATTTTATTAATATGCTGAGAAAATATGAAAGTGGAACTTCTAAAAGGAGATTGAAGAGATAGAGGAAATGGTAACTAAACTTCAGAAATGACAAATTTTTTTTCATCAAACCAAATCAATATGCAATTTCGACAAACTGTAAGAAATAATAAAAACCATAAAAGAAAAGACAAAAATAATAACACGGAAAATAAGGTAGCCTGCCTCGATCCTTCAAATAAAGATCGCGAAGTTGAATGTGTTGAATGCGTAATAATGAACTTGACTCAAGTACTCGAATTTTTACTACCTTTAATGATACCTCTAGCATCTGCTAAACAAATAATTTACTTTTTAGGCATTTAGTATTACTTTTCTTTAAATTGTCTTTTTTTATGACACTCATTACATACACTTATCATTTTTTTATTAAAGTACACTTATCAATTTTTATTAAGCTTATTGTTTACCATGATTTTGCTGATCAGCTTTCTATGATATTTTGTTATTACCTAAATTGCCACGTGTATTAGCGATTATCTTGTTTTCTACAAATTAAAAGCCAAGGAAGTAAATCCTTGATTACTGACATTTTAGATTTACTGAAAAAATAGGATATTGATATAAACAATTATCGTAGACAGGCATACGATAATACAAGCAATATGTCTGGTAAATATTCTGGATTACAAGCACGTTTAAAAGAGCGGAGTGAACTGCGCTAGACATTCTTTATACTTAGTAGGGCAGTGCAGTGTCAGTGAGTGCATCAACTCTATTAACTAATTTTGCGTTCTGTTGAGTTTGTATTCATTTTTTGTAGCTTCAATACATAGATGGGATTTATTGAAAGGAAAGCATGCTACACTCAAGCGCCTATCAGATACACGATGGTCATGTTGGTCAGATGCTTCAAAAAGCTTAGTAGAAAATTTTGATGGGATTCATGCAGCGTTATGTCTTATAGCTGAGGATACAGAAAAGTCTGATACTTGTTATGAAGCTGTGTGTTTTTTAAATAAGATAACTAAGGTAGAGTTTGCATTCATCGTTACTTGTACTTTGTACCTGTACTTTGGCATTACATACTTATGAGGTTTAATGAAGTTAGCAAGTTTCTTCAAAAAAATTACAAAACAACTTTACGAGTTTTGAGAATGAATCTTAAAAACTTAGCTCTTTTATTGAAAAAGACTATTGTGATAAGAACAAAAGAAGAGTAATTAAAAAAATTGAGCAACGGAGAAAACCAAGTTGATACTTTAATCATATCTGACAAAATTCGAGTGAATAGATTTTTTGTCATTATTGACAAACTTGTGACACAATTAACTATAAGAAGTGATGGTTACAGTCACATAAATAAATTATTTCAATTTCTGTCAAAGCTGTTAATTATTAGTATCATGAAATTGCAAGTTAGCGCAAATTGCAGAAGTGCATTTAAAGGATTTGACAAGATTAAAGAATTTTTATCATTATTAAAGCAACCTCCATGTTTTTTTTTCTCTTAAAAAAGATAAATCTGAAACTAAAAGCACATTGATTCCTCTGCATGTTTTAAATTGGATTGTTGAAACCAATATTATTGATGTATTTCCGAATGTTTATAAAACATATCGTTTGTTTCTAACTATTCCCATAAAAAAATTGTGAGGCTGAGACATCATTATCTGCTCTTAAAAGAGTAAAGAACATACACCGATCAATAATGCTCCATAGTCGTTCAACCGATCAACAATGCTCCATAGTCGTTTAAATAATATAGCAAGATAAACAATTGAAATAAAATTTGTTAGAAGCAATGGGTTTCAGCAATTTGATAGCTGTTCTACTCTTTTTGCTTCAGTTTGCGGAAAAGAAAAGCATAAAGAAATTACTTAGCTTAATTCAATAAAACAAATATAAAATCTTAACTTAAATAAATATTAGCGATAGCTTTTTCAAGTCTTTATTTTACTCATTTTCGTCGTTGCTAATAAAAAGGGGCTCCCTACTTTAGAATAGTCTTGGGCCTTGAAAAGTCTTAATCCGCTACTGGATAAAAGATCATTTTTTGAAAAAATCTTTACAAAAAAATGCTTGCGAGATACTATTTGAAGGAACATGAACTGTGTCTTGTTTTTTACGTAAATTTAGAGCGGTGATAACGTTGATTGATGGCTTCTTTTTTCTCCAGCCATTAATTTTGTTATAGAAATGTACACTGCATATTTTTTAAGATGGCTCATAAACCAAATTAAATTACACATCAAGATGTAATTGAGAACACGAAAGTTGTTAGTCAGTTAATTTTGAAAAGTCTTTTTAAAAAACTCTGATTCAATTGAGAACACGTAAGACGAAATAAAAATACTGATTCGATTGAGAGCATGTTAGACGAAATAAAAATACTGATTCGATTGAGATCATGTTAGACGTAATAAAAATACTGATTCGATTGAGATCATGTTAGACGTAATAAAAATACTGATTCAATTGAGAGCATGTTAGACGTAATAAAAATACTGATTCAATTGAGAGCATGTTAGACGTAATAAAAATACTGATTCAATTGAGAGCATGTTAGACGTAATAAAAATACTGATTCAATTGAGAGCATGTTAGACGTAATAAAAATACTGATTCAATTGAGAGCATGTTAGACGTAATAAAAATACTGATTCAATTGAGAGCATGTTAGACGTAATAAAAATACTGATTCAATTGAGATCATGTTAGACGAAATAAAAATACTGATTCGATTGAGAGCATGTTAGACGAAATAAAAATACTGATTCGATTGAGATCATGTTAGACGTAATAAAAATACTGATTCGATTGAGATCATGTTAGACGTAATAAAAATACTGATTCAATTGAGAGCATGTTAGACGTAATAAAAATACTGATTCAATTGAGAGCATGTTAGACGTAATAAAAATACTGATTCAATTGAGAGCATGTTAGACGTAATAAAAATACTGATTCAATTGAGAGCATGTTAGACGTAATAAAAATACTGATTCAATTGAGAGCATGTTAGACGTAATAAAAATACTGATTCAATTGAGAGCATGTTAGACGTAATTGAGAGCATAAAAGTTATCATTAAAAAATGTTTATAAATATAGGAACTTAAAATAAAGTTCATGTCGCAAGCGTGACATGGAACATTGTCTGTTACGTCGACCATTCTGCACTTTTTTGTAATGAAAACAAATTGTCTTTGAGGTAATTGTTGATTTGAGGTTGTTGTGCTCATGCTTAAATTAAGTTAACTTAACAGTATTGTTTTTATGACTACCGTTGTCATTTGACGATCACTTTTAATCTATGTTAACGTTTCTTCGGTTTGATTTTTGGTCAATTTTTTTGGCTTAAAACCACCTGAAGTTTAAATTTTCACTACAAAGCCAATTTTATGGTGTCTTGTATTTGACTCCTAAAATTTGCACCAGAGTCACCCAATTATCATTTCGCTCAGCACATTCAAAAACTTTTTTTATGTTATTTGATGAAGATAAAACGTTATGTTTTCTTTCATTTTGTTCAGTTTTATGCATTTCATGCCGACATAATGGACAAGTTGAATTTGTTGTTCGAAAAGTGGTTGTAAACAAGTTTAGTGAAATAAATGTTTACACAGATTTAACTTAATAACAAATTTTCATAAAGGTCATAAAATAAAGGTCATAAAATAAAGGTCATAGTTTATTGACATTTACCACACGATCTTTCATTTCCATCATTATTAATGATGCTTAAAATGCTAAAATTATTTTTATTTGCTATTTCATAACGATATCTTTACTTGTAATTTTCTTTTTTATATATTTTTATCTGTTTCTTAAATATTGTAATAAAGAAAAAAATTTATACTATTAAATTTTTAAATCTTATGTTCAAGAAAACCTTTTATAATAACCCTTTAAACTTACATTGCGCATGCGCAACTTACATTGTGCATACGCAATTACAATTCATGTATTCTCAATTACATATTACGATTTCTAAATTACATATCTTGTTTCTCAATTACATTGTACGATTTCTTAATAAGAACATTCGTGTTCTCAATTACATATTGAAAAGGTGTTTATCATAAATATAAACTCAGTTATGTCACTTTTAAAACTCTATTGACTAAACATTTATATCATTAAGTGGGCCACGATATGCAGAAAACCACCAACCCACTCTTACTTGGTTTTAAGATAAATTAGTTAGAAAATTATTTTGATTGTTTAAAAATTCTGCATTTGAAATAAAACCTTAAACTTGTTGTTTGAAAGTAGTCTCAACTAGACTAGACTATTTTTATTCATCAATAAATTTTAAGTTTCATAGTATTATCTCCTAGCGTTCAAAAAATTAACGCTGAGAGATAATTACTATAAAATTTAAAATTTATTGATGAATATAAGCCTAGTTGAGAATAGAATAAAAAATATTTTATCAACTTGTTGCCCTCACGTTTGAGGTGGATGAAATCCGTCATTGGAACAATTATGGAATTGTATTTAATTAAGTGTGTAGTACATACAGTTATTTAATTTGAACTTAGCGAATCAAAGTTATTTTGATCTGTTTTTTGTTAACTTTATATATAGATTTCAAATTGAAATTTAGCTCCATTGCAATAATATATTATAACTTTTTTACATGGTTTTATTTGGTTTATACTTGTTAAAAAAAAAAAATTATTAAAAATAAGACTACAACGTTTTATGAGGACTAATAAACATAACTGGGATTCGTCCGTAGTTAACCATTTCTATGGTATACGGGATAGGCTAAAGAAATAAAATACAAAAAGTCGTAAATTAAATAAGCATTATTAATTAAAAAAATGCAAAAATGACTAAAAATTATGCTAAAAATACAAATAAAAATTTCAAGTAAAAAAAAAAATCGATTAATATTTAATTTAGAATTCAAAAAAATTTAGTACAAATTTAAAAAGCTGTTATTGATTGATGGTCAAATTTCGTGAAATTACTTTCTTTTTTTCAGAAACTAAGCACAACATTGTTAACTCTTTGGACAAGACCATGGCGCAAACGTGTTTAATTTATTTAATGGCGTAGGTGATTGAGTCCAACGAATAGCTTGCTCCACAGTGACAAAATATACATCAGGTAATAATGAAATCTCCGCTAAAAACTTTTTAAAGCCTGTATTTACAAATAAAGAAGTACATAAAATTGCGTTTATATTAAAATAAATTAAATGAAGTAAAGTTATTACAAAATAAAATAAAATACACTTAAATTACACACCAACTTGTCTGTAAACATAACTTTCATGCAAAAAGAATGAGGAATGCCCAAACAAAGAAAATGGTTGTTTTTTGTCGTTGTAATGTGTCAAAAAATTGAACTTAAAGTTAGTGTAGACACTATCAGCATCAGTTAAACTGGCAACGCAGCTATCAAACATTGAACACTCAGATCCATTTAGACCGTCCAACAGAGGTGTTAAAGGAACCTCCCATAATCCAGGATACGATACTAAAACAAATAGTACATTATAAAATCTTATTTGTTTATAATAAAGAACAACAAAAAATGAGCTAGAATTACATTGTGGGCAAGGTTCGTCAGCGCATTTTGGTACCAAATAATCTAAGGTATACGGCCACCATTTTGATTCGACATGTGTAGATAAGGAAGTGTCATACAAAAACTTATTGTCAGCAAGAACCTTAAGAATAAAAAAAGATGAAGAAATATAGTTAAAAACACTATGTTTTAAAAAAACCATATACTTACCCTGTATGTCGTTTCACCAGGTCTTAAAAAAGGATTTCTCCAACCATAAACTTTGGCACCGGTCTTTTCAATTTCTTTTTTTTGATTAACTATTTCATTTTCCAGTTCGTTATAAGAACTCTGTTAAAAAAGTTGAGTATTTTATTAAACTGAAGCACTTTATTACATACAAAACAAAATTTATACTTATATATCGCAAGTTTGAATTTTATGTAAAAAATAATTTATTAACAGGGATTGCGGCAATAGAGAGCGGGAGTACTGGTGAAATTTGAGCACCACGCTCAAATTCCTTATTTAAAAGTTTTAAAAGTAAAATGAAATATCAAGTATATATTTAAAATATATTTATAATAAAATTTAAATATATTCGAAAAATGCCTCCTCCGCATATAAAATTCGGTACCGCGATCTAATAACGAAACATATTAAAAACTTACATCTCTCCACCATGTGTTGGGTGTTCGATGTGTCACAGAATGATCTGCAATTTCGTGGCCTTTAAATATATATCGTTTTTACATCAATAAAAAGAGAACATAAAATTTTTTTAGTAAAATAAATTTTATACATAAACTCAACAACTTTGTGGGTGTCAGATTGACATTTAAAAATACCTTTTTGGTATAATTTCTGAACAAGATTAAAATCTGTATATTCTTGAGAAACATAATAAGTTGTTGTAGCCGGACATCCGTTTGGATTTTTCATTCCGTCAAACAACTGAGAATAAAATTCGTAATTTAAAGCGTTGACGTCATCATCCATTGTGAACAATACAATTTGAGGAGTATCTGTTATAGGTAAACCGCCAGGAATTTCTTCACTAGCACAACGACAATTTGGAAGTTTGCATTTGCTCTCATCGCACAGCGATGCCTTTTCTAAATAAATGAGTTGTTGAAAAAATGTTATTTAACACAGCAATATACACACAAACAGGTCAAATTAGGGGCTGTTCGTAAATTAAGTCACGCTATAATTTAACATTGAAATAGACTTTGAAATAAAATTGGCTCTCTTTCGCGGTGGTTTTCAATGGTTATAAAGCGTTATGTGATGCTCTATAATCAATATGGCTCTGGTAAAGAGAGAATTTTCTCCTACTTCTATATATATTTTTAACTTAGCATGAAATAATTTGCGAACAGCCCTTTAGTCCACCTCAGATGTAATAGCTTATATTAACATTAATATCAGTTTATGAAATTCTAGCATTTGCAAAAAAAAAAAAAAAAAAAATCTTCAAACAATTAAAAATAAAGTTTACCATATATTCCCGGGCTTTGTTGCAAAATGGTTCCAATATTGCCTAAACACACAACAATTTTCTTTAAATACATGTGATTAAATAAGTTTAAGCTTACATAATAAAAAAACATAAACCACATACTTTCGCTTGACAACACTGCGAATGATGCCGTAGTTTGTATCGACGATGCCAACAATTCAATAGTTGTTTCCATTGCTCCTTTCGTTATCGAGGGCTGAGTTGTTTGTAGTTCTGTTAGAAACTCAGCTGTTAAAAATATCATTTATAATTTTTTTGTTAAAAGCTCAAGAAAATTTTTTTTTTTTCAAATGTATTTTTTTAAAATCTATTATTAAATATATATATATATATATATATATATATATATATATATATAAAATATATATATATATATATATATATATATATATATATATATATATATATATATATATATATATATATATATATATATATATATATATATATATATATATATATATATATATATATATATATATAAAATGTTTTGTTTTCTTAGTAATTACCTTGTGGTAACGGAGCTGATCCAGTTTCCTTTAATAAAATCAGTACAACCAAACTGAAATAAAATGACAGAATCATAGTAGCAATGAGTTGTTTTTTTTGTTAAACTTAATTTTGAGTTTAGAACCAATACTTTATTTAAAAATTTTCATCATTTTATATGCAACTTCGTAATTACTTTAACACTTTGACAACTACGCAGCCAGTTGACAAGTACACTAATCATTATTATAGTTAACTCAAACAACTTGTTGTTGCTTTTCATCAATTTAAAATTGTTGGGTTAATAAAAGTTTAACTAATGTAATTATGTGTTTAAAAAGATTTTTATTTATATAAAAAATAACAATAAAAAACTAAACATTAAAAAAGTAAAGAAAAAGTAGGAGGTGGAAATTCTGTAGGGATGATAAACTTAAGGTTTTTTATATAAAAAGCAGCGGCGTTTTATAAAAATGAAATAATTTATTTGTTATAAATAATAATAAGTTAAAAAACTTTTGTTGAAAAATTGAAAGAATTGTTTAATATCTTTAAAAGTCTGAGAAATCAAAACTTTATAAGTCTAAAAAACCGAATTTTCTGAAATAAAACTCAAAACTATCTTACCTATTCCACCCTAATAATATATATTTCGTACTATTAAATAAACATGTTATTTTATAAAATCATTTTTCCTAATTCTGAATCAGCAAGTTTATCAACTATTGAATCAAAGTTGATTTTTTATATTTTCAACTGATAGAACTCTTATCACATATAATCTCTTATTGGATATAAATTAACGGAGTAGCTATTCGCACGTTTTTCTTTTACAAATAGACTATATTTAATTATAGTTTATTCGCGCGTTTAAAAAAACAAATAGAAAGTCTTTTAATTTTAGTGAAAATTAAAAAAACTAAAATTTTTTATATTTCATTTTCAAATTTAGAAGTAATAAGTTTTTCAAAGTTTGTTTTACCTTCTGGGATGTTTATTTTTATTTACCAGTTATTTCGCACTTTATTTAGTTTAAACTTATTTCACTTCGTAGCGGTTTTTACAAAACAACAAGAAATTATTGTTTCGATTTGTACCGTATTTTTCACGAAACAAAAAAATTTTGTTTTGTTTTGTACCGATTTTTGCAAAATTGTATAAAAATTGTTTCGTTTCGTAACGGTTTTATCAAAATAATATTTTTTATCGTTTTGTCTCGTTTCGTCTTGAACCGTTTTAAGTAGGGGTGCACCAATGCATCAGCCATGGTAACCGGTGCCGATAGTTTAAAAAAATCAGTTTTTTATATTTTTTTGTTTTTATATTGTATAAAAAATATAATTACTATATTTTTTAAACAATATAGAAACACAAAATTAGAAAAACTGACTTTTTTATTTTTGGTATCGGCCGATGGTTACAAAGACCGAGGTTGAGGCCGATGGATCGGTGCACCCCTAGTTTTAGGACGCAGATGTTTAGTAATGACACATTTCTAATGCACTGATTGTAAAAGTGACAATTTCTACTTTTGAAAACGTTTACTTCTCAAAGTATTTAAATATTTCTAAAAAGCTTATTTAAATCAAAAATCGTGAAATGTTTTGCCAATATTTTTTTCCTAAAATTTAATCACCACATGTATTTTTTATTTAAGCGGCCGTGACGTGGTTAGTACAATAGAAGCAAGACATATCGGCTTTGAAGGGAGGTCTGGGCATATTTTCGCGCAATTGGTTTAGAATAAGGCGTCTTTAAATCCTCTTCCGTGCTGCTCTTTGACATGAAGAAAAGGTCATCTTGGGGCATCTAAAACAAAATTTTAAAAATTGAATGATCTATTATTTAAGAAAAAAACTTCTTTTTTTTTTGAAAAAATATTAATTGAAACGTATTATATATCTGACCTGAAACTCACCTTATAATATTTTTAACTTATTTTATATTCTAGATTTAAGGTGTGATTAAATTTTATATATACAATAAGTTTTTGTTTTTTTAAAAAAAACGGTGACGGTGAAAAATACTCATACTACTCAGGTGAAAAATACTCATACTTTAAATTTTTATGGAATTTTGCAATTTACTAATTCATGCATGGTAGATAAGAAATTGTCAGCATAATTTCACGACCTAAATCTCGTGTTCGTTTTGGTGCTACGTCAGAACAAACATCCAAGTGTAAAAATCTAAACAAAACACTGAAAAGATTTGTTGTGTATAAGAAAAATGTCCATCAATGATGGACATCAATGATGGACATTTTTCTTATACACAACATGATTCCATGATGGCATCATGGAAAAAAAATCAAAAATCATGGTTGTTAATTACAGTTTAATGAGATTGTAAAATGATTTTTAAGGATATATTCATCTCGAATTATAATATAATATTTATCTGTTTTTTATAATTTCTAGTTGATCTTTTTTTTATTAATAAAAATGTCAACAAAAATCTCAAAAAAATCTTTCACTCAAATAGTCTTCCAATTTATTTATGAATTTAAAAAAATTTGACACGATTTTAATTTATTTCTTGACTTTGAAATACGTCGACGTCGAGTCTCGTTAAGTTTAATGTACCCGTAGTATTCGAGTACAGCCATCAAGTTATACTTCGTGAGAAACTTAATCATCTCGGCTTTACTTGGGATACAAAAAAATCAATTTTTTGATTAGAATGAATATTGATAATAGGGTATCAAATTTCCGGGCAACAGTGCATACTCTGATTCAATCTGGAATCCGGTTTGCACATCCAAGATCTATTATCCAATTATATAAATCATTAGCAGTTTCGACGTTAACCCACGGTCTAGAGCTCTGTGAAAATAAAGATTCAACATAAAAGACTCGACACATTTGGAAGGAACGCAGTTAAATCAATTTTTAATGTTTCCAAGTATAGTAAAAACTATATACACTCTCTATTTAGAATTAAGGAGATGTCAAATTATATACACCAAAACAAAATAAATCTATTTATCCGCCTTTTAAACAATAAAGTAACCTTTGAAATTATAAACTCCTAACTTAAATAATGTTCAGCTAAATTGTCTTTTTTAGATGATATAAAAGAATTATGTGATAATCATAAACTGAATATGAAAACCTTAATGCTGGTTAAAAAAAAAGTAAAGTTTAAAGTCTTAGAGGATGTAATTCCTAAAGCTACTCTTCATATTTTGGTACACGCGATTCAATGTTGGAATGTAAAAGAACAGCGAACAATTTTTAAAAAGACACTTGAAGAAAACATTCCTTAATAATACTTTTTTAATCTCTTTTTCTTAGTTTGTGCTTTTACTTTGTAAATATATTTTACAGAGGGTGGTTAATAAAATATTAATAATAATAGTTAAGATTAAATCAAATTTGACTAAAAAAAAGTTAACCTTTTATTTTTCAATGTGGGTATTTTGGGTGTGTGATGCTCTTTCAGAAAGAATTATTTAAATTTGTCAGAATAAATTGGCACACTAAAAAACTTTAGAGTTTTTCTTTTTGATACTTTTGGGGATATAAGTTATGGGAAAAAAGGAAGTAGTAAAATTTAATCAAGGGCCCTTATTTTGTTTGCATTTATTTTGTTTATTTAATAGGAAAAAAGTAATCATTCTTTCTATAACTAGAGTAGCTTAACTTAATAATCATGAAAATATTTTTTATTTTTTTATTAATTTTATTAGTTATTAAAGAAAAAATTTTAAAATTACAGGCAGTCTGGTTCAGAAAGCATTTTGCAATATACAAATTTCAACGAAAAAGCCAATTAAGGCTGCTTGTTAGATAATTAAAATACAAAAAATTCTAGTTGCCTTTATAAACGGCTACGTAAAAAAGTTTGTAAATATTGACCAGTAATTAAAGATATACTTAAATTAAAGATATAAACAAATTAAACTGATGACAGTTCTATTTGTTTATTTCTTTAATTTTACTTTTATATTAGATAAGCAATACTTTTATATTAACTTCAGTTCATTTTCAATACAAATCTTTATTTGGAAAACAAGTATACTTTACTATGTTGTAATGATGTCATGGGAGTAAAATGACGTAGTGTTATTTATTTACATAACAGATTAAAACGTCCTGTTTGTAAGTAACATTTCTTAAACACACATAAAACAGGGTAAAAATCTACTAACATACAAACTTACGTTTATATATAAAGAACTGAAGCATTAGATCTGTAAAAAGGTATGTTTGTTTTTAAAAATCTTTCATATCATAAAACTCTTTTACATATAAATTGTTAAAGTTTCTTTTTTTTATATACAATAAATATACACCCTTGAGATTGTCCGTTTTATTTTTCTCTCTAACGTTGACTTTTTATTTAGATTTTTTTTTCTTTTTAATACGTTAATTTTAAACTCTTTGCCGTTAATTTTTATTTGCTTCATTATCTTACTGCACCACTCAGCTTTTTAAATCCTTATTCAGTTTGGTTTTGACTTTTTTAAACAAAATTTTTTTTGACGTTATAATTTTTTGACGAACCAAAGTCTTATATTACTTTAATGTCCGGAGACAAACAACATTCTTGTATACAAAATGGGAAATACGAATTTCCGAAGTTCATTTCTAGCAACAAAAGTATGCATTATTTTAATGAGGCAATTCCATTATATATATATATATATATATATATATATATATAATATATATATATGCATATATATATATATATATATATATTATATATATATATATATATATATATATATATATATATATACATATATATATATATATATATATATATATATATATATATATATATATATATATATATATATATATATATATATATATATATATATATATATATATATATATATATATATATATATATATATATATATATATATATATATATATATATATATATATATATATATATATATAGTAAAAATAACTCTCTGAACATTTTCACATTTTAGCTTACGAATTTCAAGAACTTTATTTTTTAAACATTTTAATCATTTTTAACGCAGAAACACAGTAAAAAAATTTGAAAAATGCAAACAACGGTCTAATACAAAGGTTTAAAAGAACATTGTTAAATGTTTTTGAAGCATTTTTCAAATTTACCAGTATCATTTTTCTTTTATGTTTTTCCATCATTTACTTTCTAACTTTATTTTCTTATATTTGGTTTTCTTATTTCTATAAATACGCTTTTTATTTTAATTTTATTTCAAAGTTGCGCTCTCTAATCTGTAGTTTTATTATTAGCTATATAAAAAGAATGCTACATGCTTTCACTTATTATGATGAACAAAAAACGAAATTTACTCAAATAAAAGTGAGAACTGTATCACCGAAAAAACTAATTGATCTTTTTTACTGATCATAAATGAATCGTCTTTTAATGAAAAACAAATACTTGCGATTTCTTATAATAACGTAACATAGATGTTTTAAGATAAAGTTACGATACTGAATTTCTTTTTTTTTTTTTTTTTTGAAACGTTTTTGCTGCAACTAGGGACAATTCTACAGTACTTTTTTAAAAATTTGCCTCTCCTCTCTCCTCCCTTACTTTATTCCTAGAATTGCCTCTTGCTGCGACACGCATAATAAATAACTACAGAAGTTGTTGCCATATTGTATTATTTATAATATGACAACAGTATATCTGAAATAATACTTTTTCAATACTTAGGCATTTGATTTATAAATTTAAGGTTTAAATCTCTAATAAAGACTGTTGGTAAAAATCTTGTTTTCTGTTAAGTTCATGATCAAAGGACTAAGCCAGAGGTACTGTTTAAAGCATTAATCAGGGCCAACAACACCGTGGGGCAGGTGGGGTCAAATCAAGTCAGTTAAATGTGCCCCCACCCCCCTTTTTTTTAAAAGACTTTTTTTTTAGAAAATTCTTGATATATAGGAGTTTTTTTAGAAACTGACAATTGTGCCCCTCCACTTTGAAACCCGTGTCGTTTGCCATGTTAACTAAAAGCAATAGTTGCATTTTTAAAAAGAAAATATCACGCCTTAATATTGAATTTTATTTATTTACAACACATAATCTTAATATGTTAAAACAGATACTCGGGTAATTTAGTAGGTTGGGAAAAATATCTTAGAGCAATTAATTCGTGCGTTATTTTTAAGAAATCTAATTTCATTCCTAAATATTTATTTTACATTATATTTTCAAAAATATTCAGATACCATACCGCTTTGCTTATAAGAAAAATCTACGCAAATCCCGTTGAAACGCAAAAGCAAACATACGGCAAATTCTGACATTTCACTAACAAATAAAAAAGCCCAGCACAATCAAGCAAATTTTTAATTTTGCATGGTAACCTAAAAAGTATGTAGTTTTTATTTATTTGCATTTTTTTGTTTATATTTGTATCATAAAATTGGCAGAAAAACAACTTGATAGTATGTTAAAGCCAGGTGGCTTGCGTTATATGTCGTTTTTATAAATATATATCGAGTAAAAAAGCAATCAAAACTGGAAATATTAAATTTTACTTTTTACAATATGTTATTACTTTTTACAATACGTTATGTTATTACAAGGGTTCATTTTCGAAAACACAACTTTCGAAATTTTTCGATTAAAACGTTATCGATAAAAACCTTTTTTTTCGAATTTTGTAACAACTTTCGAAAACTATCGAATAGCTAAAATGAATTCCTTCCTTTAAGTAAAACTGTCATTTTTTAAATGTAAAATATTAAATATATTTAAAATTAGAATTAAGTTAATAAAAAAAATAAATAATAATAATGATAATAACTACATTGCATCTAAAATTTATTTATATAAAGTTAATTTTAAAAGTGCGTAGTATAAGTAGTTTATTTTTACAAATAAAAGTAATTAACATAAGCAATTAACTTAAAAAAATTAGTTAGGGATCGTCCATAAAGTACGTACGCTCGGAGAGGAAAAGGAGGTCTGCAAATGGCGTTTCTGAGATAAGGGGGCAGTAGGTCAATTATAAAAGTATGGAGACACTAAATTAAAAAAAATATCATAAAATGTTGGTTTAGTAGGTTAAAAGCGTAGGTAATTTTAGGGAAGTAGAGAGTACTCAAAAAAGCATACGGCAAATTGCGGGGGGGGGGGGGGTTGCGAAAAAAAAGCGTACGTACTTCATGGACGACCCCTTATATATGAAAATTATTTGTCAAAGTAAGTCATAAAAAAGTTATTCAGATGTTACTAATAAAAAAAAAAATTATTTTTAACTTTGATTTATCTTATTATCGTTGTTTTTTCATAAGATTTGTTACTGCTGGTGTAATCCTGCGATTGATGATTTAGTCTTTAAAATATTTTTCATCACCGAAAAAACTTTATTATTGCAATCAGTGACAGATCCAGGATTTTTTGGTGTTTGAGATAGCTAACTTCCAGACATAGAGCAAACTTTAAACATTTGTATGCTTACACTTATGTCAAATAATGATACTTTGCAAAAAACTGCGTTGATTGGAGGCTGGGAACGAAAAAATCTTTTACCTTCATTACCACCAACCCACCGACCCCAAACGTGAGAGGCACCAAGTTGATAAAATATTTTTTGTACTATTCTTAACTAGAGTTACATTTACTGATAAATTTTAAGTTTCATAGTATTATCTCTCAGCGCTTAAAAATTTTGACCGTATAAAATTTGCAACCCTCTCAAATTGAGGTGGATTACAAATGAGAATTGTTTTGCCCTAATAAAAATGAGGACAAACTAATTTTTAAAATCTCCTACTCCTTTTAAATACGAATGAATAATGATGGCTAGATGTAGTCAGGCTGGCGTGAAGAGTATGTGTGGGAGGATGGTAGGACGGTGACATACCCCCATTCAATAAATTAGTCGGCAAATTTGGACCTTTTTTTAGATATTCAAAATAGGACTTAGATATTTATCACACGTCAGCAAATTGGGAAATTAGAGGCATTTTTTTATTTTAAATATGGCAGAAAATTTATAAACATTTTCAATAAAAGGGATACTATAATAGTTTGAAAAAAATAATAATAAAAATGTATGAACAAAGAAAAAAGTTAACTCTTTCTTTCCCAATTTATGAAATTCAAAAAAAAATTAAACTGAAATTCAATATTTTCAAAAAACAATAGCAAATTGGCGCATTCATTTTTAAATTGCACATGTTGCCATCTAGTAGAAAGTAGCAAAACTTTTTTTAATTTTAAGTAATGCTTAAGCATTACTTAAAATAAAAAAAAAAAGGTTTTTAGTAAAAGTACTAAAAACTTTAACTAAAAATTGTTCTTTATGCGGTTTAGTAGATAGTTAAGTAATAATGTCTGTTGCTCCTAAACTTTTTCCAATTTAATTTATTTGTTCCGTTCGGTCGGAATCAATAACTCGCAACGATAGAATTAATTTGCCCTATTTCCACATTTTTGAGTTTTGAGAAAAAACAAGATTTTTATTATTTATGTTTTCTCTGCAGCTTTTCTGATTACAACTTGGATTTCAATATAGTAGAAAAACATTATTTTAAGCTACATAGCACAATCAAAATTTGAACTTTTCAAAAAGTGGAGATAGAACAAAATAACTCTAACCTCGCGAACTGATGTTCGATCGGAACCAATAATTTTATTTATTTTCGGTATTTAGATTTCGGAATGATCTCAATGTGAAAACAGTAAAAGTTTTTTTAAAATGTTTGATATTTAAATAATATCTGAAACATAACCAAATTAGTACTTAAATTTATTTATATGAAATTAAAACTCAAAACTTAAGTATATTGCCAATAAACATATATTGTACTTTTAGATGTGTTGCCACAAAACATTAACCAAAATATTAGACTTTGATGATTTCATTACTTTTCACGGTATTTGCACCTCTAACAACAGTACTTTTTTTGCGTCCGTTTTATAATCCAGTTTATCTTTTAGTTTATTTTGCGTCCGTTTTATAATCCAGTTGATACGCAGGTATCCCAAATCAGATACGGGTAAGATGTGAGAAAACAAAAGTGAAGTCTTAAAAAGCAGAAAATGCGATGATTTGGGTCTTGACCGTGTTTTTATTTTAGTTTATTTTGGATGATAATTCTACAAATTTTTAGCTAATTGCAAGTTTTTCTAGCTAGCGATCCAAAAGGATTGCTAACTAGAAAAGCAAGCAATTAGCTGAAAAAATTCTTATTACTTTCTAATTACTTATTCATATTTATACCATATACAGCATTATTATTATTATTACATATTTATTATTAACTTATTTACATATAAAATTTGCAGTTTTACTTATTTTATCGGTCTATAGTTACTGTTCATTTTATTTAAATGAGTAGTAATTACAGGGCAGTAAAATAAATAAATTACCAGTTAATTGAGCAATGAATTAAATAATATATCAAAAAACTAATTTCTCTTACCATAAAAAACTAGGTTTTTTTAAAATTGATAGGTTGTCTGTCTAAACCAAACCTTCAGTCGATGTATTTAGACTCCCTGTACGTTCTTTCTATTTAAGTCAGGTATGTATGTACACTGTCTCCATGTTTAACTTATTTAAGATTATTACCAACGGTAATTTCATAATAAAAATCTAATAGAATTTTTATTTCTTACTTGTCATATTAGAATATTTTACTGGTCATTTTAATCAATCTACTGATCATATTTTACTAATAGTTTTATCCGTTTTTCTCGGCAAAAATGATTAAATTACTGATTAAAGTTTACTGGTGTATTGGATATACAATTGAAAGTTATATCAGTTTGTGAGCAGCATGAACAACTCGGTTTCTTGACTTGTTTGCTATATATAAATAGCTATTAGCAAAAAAAGGTGGCACTTATCTAGAGACGTTTGATATGACGAACGAAAATTCGAAAATTTTGTTTTACCTAAAGTATGCGAGTTGTTTCCGTCTAAAACAACTCAAATAGTAATAAAGTTTTAAAACAAATAAAAATTAGGTTAAAAAAATAATAAAGAACACGGAAACTCGAAGAAGTTGAAAATTTTTTCTTTTACATGTACTAAATCACATAAAGTATTAGATCAAAGGATGAAGTTCTTTGAGATGTTGATTCCCGTGTTTGAGATGTTGATTCCCGTGTTTGAGATGTTGATACCCGTGTTTGAGATGTTGATTTACCCGTGTTTGAGATGTTGATTCCCGTGTTTGAGATGTTAATTCCCGTGTATATAGAGTAGAGTTTTGTAAATAAATCTAGTTACCATTTTGACAATTGTAAGAGCAATAACTGAATCTTCTTTGTCTTAACTGGTGGTCAAATTTTAATTTGACCACCAGTTAAACTATGAACATGCAAAATTTACAATCCCCTCATTTTATGGAAGGTAGAAACCTTAAATTGTCATTACTTTCAAACACTTAAGATTTTAAAAATAAATTTAAGCTATTATAAATTCAAATAAAAATTTTTACGCTTTACTTATTTCAAGAAAAAATGCGAAAAATTGCCACTCTCTCCTAAATCAACTAACGGGTAACAGGAGAAAAATGTTATTTTAAGAAGTTATTTGAGATTGGAAAAGCAATATGTCATTTTCTTGTATCAAAATTCAATCAAGAATTTTTAAATGAAATAATTTTTTTCTTGAAAGTTAAATAAATAAATAACACTAAATAAACATTCAAATAACACGGAGTCTAGAACCCTAAACCGAAATTTTCAGGGTAAGACGCATGCAGTTATTATTCTTATGCAGTTATTTTTCTTTATTTGCTATAGATATGATTTATGTAAATATATGCTTTTTTTAGTTTACGATGACAACCATCATTTACGTTTCGATTTTTCTCTTGATATGCTTACGCGCATTGCATGGTAAGATTTTTTTTTTAAAAAATTTATTTCATATTAATCTAATGAAAAACAAAACAATCAGAATTTTCTTTTTTTAATTGTTTTATAGACATAAGATAAAAATATTAGGGTGATAATGACAATATTTGTTTAGTTGGTGCCTTGTTTCAATTAGTGGTTTAAACAAAAGTGGAACGAATAGATAAATTCAAGAGTGGCTTACATAAGTGGCTCATTTAAATGGATTAAATAGATAACTTATAAAGAGGTGAACGAGATGTAGGAGACTCTTAAAAAGAATATTTAAATATATGAACCCGTATAATCTTTTACACAGATTAATATATCCATATGGTAATTATTTTTTGTCTGAACTAATTTACTAAATTAAAAACTAAATTAAAAAAATTAAAAAAATTTAATTTAAAAAAATAATTAATTATAAAATTTGTTAAAATATATATAATTGTTTTACACGAGAGTCAAAAAGTAGCATACCGGTATTACTTACTATACGAGTTATATTGCAAGCAAATGCATAATATTAATAATTATGTTATGTAACTTTCGACAAAACAGTCGAAAGTTATGTTGTTCCACAAATTAACAACACGAAGTGTCAAGTAATTGTAGCTCTGTCGAAATTGTTACAATTTAATATCGAGTAGAAATTGTAGCTCTGTCATAATTATCTTATGTAACTTGTGGTCAACCTTAGGTTCAAGTTCTTTATCTGTTTTAAAGTTTAATATACTCTGAGGTAGGTTATTCCACAAAATAACAATTCGAACCCTGTAAATTTGTGTGCGTAAAATGTATCCCTGAGTGTTATACCCTACTAGACCATCAATTTCAGGTAAAAATGCATGTAGCTCATTTTTCTATGTGATGAGATTTTAATACCAGTAAAAAATAAAAAAATTAAATATCACCTCTTTTTCTTTTTAATTCAAGCGTTGTTAAACGCAGTCTTAAGCCTGTACTTGAACGGTAAGTGTGCTATTTCAAATAGAGTTCTTTTCTAAACATGCTTAAGAGCCCGGGTAACCTTTTTTAAATAAAACAATCAAGCTTGAATTGTTCACATGTCCTTAGTAAAGGACCATGTACAATGTACTATATAGTATGTACAATTTATCATGTACTATGTGTCATGTACCATGTACTATATACCATGCACCATCACTAGTTTAAACTTAAATTTACTTTTTTGTTACTTAACTTTTTTGTTTAAGAAAAAAATCTCCGAAGTTTCTCTCAGTTACTATAAACAGAGATAAAGTATTTTACATCAGATTTTTATTTTACCAAAATAAGCTTGCATAACTAAGCATTCCTTAAACTCTAGCTTTTTGCTTACAATAGATGTTAATAAATTCCTTTGTAATATGAGGAATCTATTTTTTTTACCTATTCTAAAAAGTAGAAGTTATGTTACCTTTTTTTTTTCATATCAGATACTTCATTAGTTTTAGTGGGAAGGCAATTGATAATGGTCATTGGAATTTCTAAACTCTTTTTTTGAGAGCTCTCTTAAGAACGTTGTAACATCGGAGAAAACTAGATGGTTCTTATTTAAATACTGAGTAAAAATATATTTTTACTCAATATTTGAATTGCCTTTCAATATATTGCATTTGCTGTTATTGTTAACAGTAATTCTATTACTTGTGTGTTCGAGGACAATAATTACTGGTCGGTTTTAGTGTTTGCACGAAATTCTTTTACGTTTAGTTTGACTTTTTCTGCTAACTGTTGCTAGTAGTTACGTATATCTTTTTATGTCATGGCTGATATATAAAAAAATGCTGCATAAAATGTTTCATATCAAGACAATCAAAGAATAATTTTGTTGATCTGTTGTCTCCTTTAACATTATTAATAACAAAGCCATACGTTGCAATTTCACATCTTGGATCATAATATACATACCAAATACGAGGATAAATAAAACCACTTGTAAGAACTATGCGTGAATATCCTACCTTGAAAAAAAGAGTTATTTTAAAATTACTGCTTTGTTTATTAATTATTAAAAATTAACTGTATTGGAAGGTGGTCTTTTTATACTTCCCCCAAAAATTGCACTCTTATTTGTATAGATAACACGCTAAGCTTGTTCAATATGTTGGAAATGTTTAAAATTGATAAATAATGACATTTGGGGGTATAGGTCTTATTTATAAATATATACCTACGGGGTATATGTTTTAAAGGTATACACAAAGTAACAAAGGACAGCCTCCTTTTAGATTTTTTAACGTGATCACCTAAGATTGTTATAGAAGTTTTGTTAAATTTTGTATCCGTTATTGTTATTACAAGGAATAGCATAGAGTCCTTTTTTTATTTTTATCCGGGCGGCTAATATGAAGAGTTTACCATCACGAAAAACTGTATTCGTTAACCAAATAATTAAGGTACATGTTTATATTCTTTTTTTAGGTGAATGTTGGTCTTTCCAGTACTTATGAGATGAATCTTTTATTTGGTTTGTTTATGTTGGGTTGAACTTATTGCAAGCATTTGTTGTTCTGAGGCCTCATTAATAAAAAAAAACTTTTCGTTGAAAACTTTGCAATTTAATTGCATTAAATAGTTTAACCTTTTATTGGCGTTTAATTCTAACGTAAAGAACGCGCTTGTCCAAAAAGATAAAGTCATTTAAATTATCAGTAAAAAGTTTTTTTTTTTTTTTTTATCATGGTAAAGCATATCAAAACTTACTTGATGTGCGACCGTTCTATCTTTTCTAACAAATGCATATTTAAACTTCAATATCGTCGTGTATATATAACCTTAGACAAAAAAAGCTTTTTGTCACGGTTTGTCATTATTTGGTATATAAAAAAGTTATTTAATTGTTTATTACAAAAAAAGTGAAGAAAAAAAAAATGCAAATCTAATATTTAAAGTGTCCTTTTTCTTTTCAATAAAAAAATAAGCTTGTCTTTAATGCACATTTCAACCAATTTTGTGCACATTTCAAAAGACACTTTTAACAACTACTCATTCAAAAGTTGTTTTAAATGCTAAATTAATTTCAATGACCCAATATTTTCAATTAGGTTAATATTAAATTTTCTAGCGCAAGAAACTGAACATTTTTTTACTGACATTTTGTTATACATTGTATTTTGTTGTTTTGCTGAATGATTACTTGTGCTTTACAGTTGTCTCTTTAATGGAATAAAACATGGTTTAAATGTTCTTTTGTCGGTATATTGATCCGGACGTTATAAACATTACAAAAATAATTGTTTTTTTTTGTTTGTTATTTAAAAAAAAAAGTTGTTTTGCTTGCAAATAACCTTGTTGTTTTGATTGCAAATAACGTTCACAAAACTTTGAAGTTGCAAATCTTTGACGTAGATTCTTAAATTACAGTTAACAACTTAAAAATTTGATATAATGCTTAAAATTTCCTTTGATTAAACTTTTATTGCCTAATGCAAACGTTTTTCACTAGGGTTGTTAACCGGAGGATTTCGTGCAATTCCGGAAAAACATTATTTTTTCGTAAGGAGATTGAGAACGAGGAATTACATTTTTTCGTGCCGAATGTAACAAAACATTTAAAATCGCCGATGTTCATTTCGCAAAAGCTACTTCCGAAATTTAGCATTTCGCAAGTTGACATACGCAACAAAACTATTTTGCAACATACGAAAGTAGCAGTTTCGGAAGTCGCACTTGCGAAACAAACATTTTCGCCAAACGACGTTTTGAAGTCTATAAAGAAAATTTGTTTGCCAGACTGATTTTAATTGTAAAAATTAACATCTTTAAATCCCAAAATGTTTATAATGAATTTTTATTTTCAGTATAATAACATATTAAATTTGTATGGTTTTATTTTTAGAAATATTGATAAAAAACAAAATTTCTTTCGAAACGAAAGTATTTTGCATCACAACGTACGAAAGAGTTCTTAACGGAAATAAACTTACGAAACGTGCCATAATAAATATATAACGATGTTTTTTGAAATCATTACGTATAGTAAAAATAAGAATAATGGGTAGGAATATACATGTTTTTTTTTTTTAAAGCATATGAAATTTTTGAAACAGGTTCTAATATGCTTAAGCAAATAGTAAAAAGAGGCTCAAAAATATGCTTAAGTTTAAGCATATTTCTGATAAAATATACCTATTTCAATAATTTCTAAAAGTGTGCACGTTACTAAAGATTAATGGGTATAAGAAAAATAAAAAGTTGACTTATGCTCTGTATTTTTGTTTTGGTTTTAATGTAGCTGAATTTATGTTGTTACAAACTTCAGTTTTATTTAAAATAAATATTTAAAATATATATTTAAAATTTTTAATTAAATAAAAATAAAATTTTTAATTAAATAAAAATAAAATTTTTAAAATGGTTTATCAAGGCTCAGGAATATGCTTACATATGCTTTTTTTTTTTTTCCAAATCTGAGCCTATAAGCGTTATGCTTATAAAAAAAAAAACGAGTATATACATTAGAATTTTTTTATCTCGGTCCCTGGATAAGTAGGACTTTGGGGCTATCCATAAATGATGTCAGTAAATATAAAGGGGAAAGGGTACTGAAAAGTTTGACAAGAATTGACAATGGGGAGGGGATGTTGAGACCAACATGATGTCCATTTAAGAAAAAAAAATTTAAGTTTGAGCAGATTTTAAAGGTATGTAGAGTCCTGTTTGAATAAGCTTTTTAAAGTATAGATCTTAGAAAATATTGCTTTTTAATTTTAATAAGATATAAATTTAAATTTAAGACTGTATAGCTCTATCAGTTAGATACGCGGTAATTCGCCGCAGAGATCCGGGCTGCCATTACGACTTTTGTTCATCAAACTCTTTTTACTTAAGATAGCATTTTTTGACCTCCATGTTCTATATTACATATCTCTCGTCACCTTCATAATAGTGGCAACCTCTCTTCTGTTAGTTATTCTTTTAAGATTGAGTTCATTGTGCTTAATTCTACGCGCTTCACTTGCTTTACTAAGTTCTACTTAAATTATGATGAAATGTACGTAAAACAACTTTTTCATATAATATAAATCATTTTGCTTTAAATCTTGTGCTTTTTGTACTAGACATCTGTCCTAAACACTGAATATAATTTCCCTGAGGAAATTATATTCAGTGTTTCTGAATATAATTTCCCTGAGGCTCCTACAGCCTATTGTGTTCCATTAAAAGTAACTAGTTTTCAAGTCCAATTATGAATTATAAGCAACTAAAGGTTCACATTACTATTCATTTTCCTGATTTATAGAATCCTATTTGCATACGTATCTCTTTCTGTAAATTCTGTTTTATATAGTTTCTTAATTATAAAATAAATAAATAACTTTTACTTATTAAAAATTATTTAATTATTTACTAAACTTAGTTGAATGAACTTATAGCTCATTCAGTTAAGAATAACATTTAGCCGTGGAGACAGAGGTTCACATCCCGCTGTGTCGCATATATTTCTTCTCTTTTTACTCTTTCTTGATATCATTTACTTTTAGAGAGATCTCTCGTTCTTTATAATAAAGTATTTAATTGTTTATCACACATCCTCTTTATACTTTCTAAAAAGAAAGGCATATTATTTATCTGTTCATTGAGAGTCCAACTTAACGGTATATATATGTATGTATGTATGTATGTATATATATATATATATATATATATATATATATATATATATATATATATATATATATATATATATATATATATAAATATATATATATATATATTTATATATATATATATATATATATATATATATATATATATATATATAAATATATATATATATATATATATATATATATATATATATATATATATATATATATATATATATATATATATATATATATATATATATATATATATATATATATATATATATATATATTAGGTATGTTTGTATAAACATTTGAAGAATCATTTGACAACATTTTTTTATAATTTTAATATTTATTATTTAAACTGTTAACAGTTAATATCTTAAATATATCGTAACATCTTTAAAATCTTTTCGTCTTTTTCGTAACTGCACATTCCGGAATGCTCCTTCAGTAAGGAACAAATCATTTCGTACGAAATGATTTGTTTCGCAAGTTTTCTTTCGCAATGCTTTATTACGGATTTTTATTTATTTATATTTTCGTAAAATGCGTTACGGAATGTGCTTTTTCGCATGTGCAACTTCCGCAATAACAATTTTATTACGGTCGATAAAGATGCGAAATTTTCGCAAGTTTTGTTTTTCAGCGAACAAGCCTATTTTGCACTATTTTTTTAAATTGCATCATATGTAAATGACATCATTGTCTATTATTGACGGCGTCGTCTATAAATGACAAACAGGCTTGTCCTTTCTTTTTGCAATTGTAAATTTTTTTGTTTAAATTTTCAAGTCTAACGTTTTTTGCGCCAATTTTCTTTTAACAAGTTTCGTGTACATTTTGATTAAAAGAAAAAAGATTTGTTTCAAAGAAAAAAGATTTTGTTGATAAGCTAACAATTATCAACAAAAAGAACAATCTTTTTGTAGCTTATCAACAAAAAGAACAATCTTTTTATTGCTTATCAACAAAAAAAACAATCTTATTGTTGATAAGCAACAAAAAGAACAATCTTTTTGTTGATAAGCAACAAAAAGAATAATTTTTTGTTGATAAGCAACAAAAAGAACAATCTTTTTGTTGCTTATCAACAAAAAGAACAATCTTTTTGTTGATAAGCAACAAAGGTATTTTTTGCTTGTTTGAATATGCTTGTTTTGTAACGGTTACTTTTTATGGTTTTCCAGAATAATGCTAGACATTAAGGTTACCAGTCAGGACCCAGACATTTCATTGTTTTTGACGTAAAATTAAGAAATACTTGCTAGATTCAAGCTTGTCTATTTCAAATTTTTTTACGAATATCAACTAATTCAATAATTTACCACTTTATATTTTCTATTACTACCTTTAAACCCATTTGATGCTTTCTGTTAATACTTTTCAATCCATTTTCACACGAAATGAGGTTTGAAACACTGCAAGTTGATTTTTTAAGATTCTTAAAAAATTTAATAAGATTTTTCAAGAATCTTAAAATTCAACTTGTAGTGTTTCAAACTTTAATTCGTGTACAAATGGGTTGAAAGATGTAAACATAAATTATCAAATAGGTTAAAAGGTATTAACTAAATGAAAAATTTAAACATTGCAAAACAACATAGTACGCTGTTTTGTAATGGTGATACGTGTAAATTCAAAATAGAAGTTAAGTTATAAACTTTAGATTGCAAACTAACTTTAAAAATCGAATGTTTTTTTAGGTGCTAACATTGATCATTTAAAAAAATATGGATATAATTGTTACTACAAAAATGAAAATGAAGAAATTCCTGTTGAATGCGATCCTGGGCAAGCTTGTTATGCAATCATTTCAATTCAGCACAGAAATTCCACATGGAAAATAAACAATAATTCCTTGGGATGTTGGGATATGCAATCTCATTGCACTAAAGACATGTGTTCTGTAGATCTTCCGAACTTTATATGGGTAAATCATAATTTTCCAAGGTTTTGTTGTTGCACTGGAGACTTTTGCAATAAAAATATTAAACTAACATGAAATTTATCTGAAATAAAAATGAATTCGTTTATTATAAAATTTGTATTTACAAAGATTTAATTAGTAAAAAATGTTCATGCTACGTATTGTTAACTTATGGCATCTCAAATGGTTTCATTCTTTAATAGAATGTGCACAACTTACGCAATATAGTGAACAACTTACGCAATATAGTGACAACTTGTAGAAGGGTGTCGCTAACAAAGAAGAATTTCAGTCGTTATTATTTTTTTATGAGATTGCTACAATGTTTTTTTTAATATTATATTATGCAAATAATATTATTAATAAAGAATATACTATTTATTTTGTGCGTTTCAGTCGTTCCAAATCAATTTACATATATTAGCATTTCTTGGTCTGCAATTTCTTGGTTTTCAGCTCATAAGTAGAGGTACCTTTTATTAAAATAAAACAACTTTTCTTATTTTTGTAAAATGAAATCTCTCTTAATACTTATTTATTATCTGGCTATTTTCTGATCAAAAATTTATCTTTTATAAACCCATTGACTCCCTAATAGTGCAGTAGATTAGCTTTAAAAATTACTCAGAAAATTATGCTGATTATTATGAGATATGGGAGCAAAGTGTGGCATAACTGGAATGGGCTGAAATCCAAAATAGTGGTTACTGCTATTTTGGATTTCTCAAAATCTTAATAAATTTTAAACCGTTTAACTAATCTTCATTAAAATCTCAGGAATGTAAACCATATTAATTATATATTAATTGCCTTACCATAATAGTGCAAAAATCACGATGTTAGTGGCTTTATATTAGCGACTGCCGACATTTTGGATTAAACAGTTTTTGCTTGATGAAAACTTAACAAAACCACATTTTACATGCTAATATATGACTCAGAAAACTTGTTATCATGTAATAGAGATTTTGTCAGTGAATAAGTACTAACAGCAATCTTCCTTTTACAACTGGACTGTGGACCAGCTTTGGCAGAGTAACGTTTTTGCCAACTATTTTTAGCATATAAATAACACATTTTCAGTAGCTAACAAGTAAAAATAAATTTTAATAAATATAATAAATAACATTAAAAAAAAACAAAAAAACATTGCTGCATATTAATATTTGGTACTTTACAGCTGCACATACACAACAGCATTTACTTCATAACCTGTGTGACATCCGCACTGAATAAACTTGGGACAGTATTTATCAGCTTTACGAAGCGTCATCCATATAGGATTTTATTTTCAATTTTTGTTTTAGGTTCTGAGTTTTTGGTCAGTTTTTTGTACGGGGCATAACAATCAAGAATTGTGTTGAATGTTTTTAAAAAGAAGTTCATTGATTGATTGACATCATCACTATTTTTGATATAAAACTTTCATTCAATATTAGAAATATCCTGAATAAATTCATTACCATTGAAATACTTAAATGATTGTTTAGTTGTTATAGATTTTTTTCTTTTGAAAGGAGTACTAGGAATGCAAACAAACTGTACCATTTAATCTGAAATTGATATTGTTAGGTTGCCAGAAATAAGATTAGGAATTTGAAAATTTAAAAAGATGTTATCAATAATTATTTTAGATTTACAGGTTACTCGTGTTGGTTGAATTATTGTTGGGTAAAAAGAGTAAGAATAAAGTGAGTCAAAGTAATCATAGATAATAAGGAATTCATTGTAGTTTAGTAAGTCAATGTTAAAGTCATCCATTATCATGCCCTGTTTATTTTCAGAACTAAGTTTTCAAGTAAAGGATAAAAATAATCAGAAATAAATTCCTTTGGGTTCATTGAAGGATGCCGGTATATCCAGCCAATCATGATGTTTTTCTTAAAAAGATTGATTTCTATAAAGATGATTTCAATAAAGATAGATTCTAGGTATTTTGGGGGCATATACTATAACATATTGTAGTTTAGATTGGATTGTAAGTATAAAAGAGCACCTTCTTTTTTAGCATCAGTAGAGCATTGTTCAATGCTATAGCCATTTATACTTATGTCAGTTATACTGGGATCGTTAATGTACAATTTAGATTCCGAAATTCCAAATACTGTTGGGAGAATGGTAAGCGAACTTATGAGGCTGCAAAGATTATCAATATGAAAGTGCAAAGAACCAATGTTTAGATGAAGGTACAATTCAGAATTTGATTTTAAAGTTTTATTAAGATCAAGAATTTCGTAGTATTTGCAGTTAGAATAAGTGTTAGAGATTTTATTTATATCCTTAAACAAGTTTTTAAACTGTATTGGACTTTCTAAAGAATTTAAGATACTAGTTGGTAAAGATACTCGTTTATTTGGTTTCTGTTTTGAGACATAAAATGGTGCGAAGAAACAGCTAAGCTTGATTTATCAAATGTATATACGTTAGTAACATTGCCAAATTAAGACTAACATTGCGTTTTTTATATTCGATTTAGTATTATTAGCTAAAAAAGTAATAGAAGCTTTATCTGAAATGTTGGTAGTGTTCAGACAGCAGCAGAGGCTAAGGTTTTGGTAGTGTTTAAGGCAGCGACAGAGGCTGAAATATGGGTAGTGTTCGAGACAGTAGCAGAGGCTAAATTGTTAGCAGTGGAGACTGCTATAATGGATAGCGGATAATGTGGAGACTGAGTCTTCTTAAATTCTTTAAGCTTAAGGAGATATTAGAAGCACTACTCAATTAAGATAATCACGTAGTTGAACAAATTTATTGATCAATTGAAATGGCTTAAGCAAGTGTATTTTCTCTACCAAAAAACGACAAGAAAACAGAAAATCTTGAGTAGACCTACACTGCGATTCTTTCTTTAAAACCATGTCAAATAATGTCAAACGCTCTGCGCTAGTTTCATTACAAACGCCCTGCACTAGTTTTATTACAAACGCCCTGCACTAGTTTCATTACAAACGCCCTGCACTAGTTTCATTAAAAAATTTGAATTATGACTAACTGATGAATCATTAAAATTTTTAGTTTTTTTGAAATTCTTTTACGAACAAAATTTCTGATAAAACTCTTAATGACTTGTTTCTTAAAAATAAGTCATTATAAGTTTTGTCGAAATATAAACATAACGAGAAACGAATTTAAGGAGGGCCGAGGGGCTTGGGCCCCGGGTGCCAAGTTTTGATAGGGCGCCATCCGTCAGAATGCTTAAATTTAGAATGGTAGAAAATCGTTAAAAGTTATTTTATATCATTATCACGAAATTTTTTATTTTATTATTACGTCCAAATCATAGTCTGAATTGTAGAACTACTATATATTTCCAAATTTTTTGCGCACATTTTTTTTAATACGCGCACATTTTTTTTAAAGCGAGAATATTACCATTGGAAATTCATCTTTTTAAAAATTATATATGTATTTTGTGTGTATGGTTGGCAGAATAAAGCATCATTCATAAGGCAATCAAAATCCACTTGAAAATTATACATAATTATGCGCGAACTATTCATGTGAAAACAAAAAATTAGGTAAAAAAAGTCACGTTGCTCAGTTTGATCCTTTTTTTAGAGGACCCTATCTTTTTTAGTGGATCGTACCTATCTTTTAATATATAAGAGCAGTTTATAGGTATAATGATAGATAATTTTATACAACAAATAATAAAGAAATAAAAAAAGTTGAATATTTTTCCATCAGTATTGATTCTACTTCTGATATGAACCATGTAGTGTAACTGTATTCATTTTTCGGTATGTTCAAAAGAACGGCTGTCTGGTAGAAAAATTTTTAAGGTTTTTTCCCAATTCTGGTTATAAATCTGAAGAATTAGTAGATGCCATATTTTTTAGTTTTAGAACCGCATATATTAGGTATAAACAATTGTCATGATCAAAGCTACGGCAATGCGTCTAACATGTCTGATAGGTATATAGGGATTCAAACTCGCATTAAAGAAGTTAACCCTTTAGCTGCATTTGTACCATGCTTGGCAAACTCTTTTGTTGGTGAATACGCTGTGAACTCCCGACAAGAAAGGTATATGTGGCCCACATGTGGTCATAGTACTTTCGTGTAGATTTAAAGTGCAAAAATATATTACAGTTGATGAATGACGTATTTGATGAAGATAAGTGTGGCCCACTTGGGGAACACATAATGCGGTTCGCATAACTATTCTACTTAATAATCCTTAAATAAATACGTGCTAAATTTGATGAGGCTATCATATGGGTCATACATATAAAACTCACGATCTTGCCTCATTTTGAATTTTAAATTTTAACCAATTGTAATAATTCTATCGCAATGCATTGTAAACTCTAGAATATTCCATGATATCATGTGGCTTACCGTATATATATATATATATATATATATATATATATATATATATATATATATATATATATATATATATATATATATATAAGAAAAAGTGTAAATATGTAAAATAAAAAACAAAAACCTAGGTGTGTTAGGACTTTTACTTATTGTAATATACAATTTGTTATCATTACTAAACTATGTTATTTTTATGTGATTTTATGCGTGATTTAGATTATATAACGGCATATTATTAAAAGAATAATATTTAAAACAATATTACTTATATTCAGGGCCGTACCGATGGGAGTGAGTGTGGGGTGGACACCCCATCCCCCCCCCTAGATTTACAAAATTCTGTCGGTTTTTGTCGGAAAATTGGAAGATATGGGACTCTGTCGGTTAGAACTGATATTTGGCTTCTAAAAAAAAAAAAACCCTTGTCCGTAAAGTTAGCCTTTTTCCTTTGCACCCCCTCCTCCAAGTCTTCGTTGTTCGGTACGGCCCTGCTTTTATATAAATATACAATATATATTATAAAATTTATAAAAAGCTGTAAATGTTTATTGTTTTGTTGAGCGGTTTTGTAATGAATATATAAGAGAATTGCTGTTCTAAATAAACTTTCCATAAAATTTGTAAATCAGAGTTATACTTAACAAATACAAATTTATAGTTATACTTAAACAACGTTATATTTTAAAATAGCGGTGAATGTTTAAAAACTTCCGCAACCGCATATAAATTGTATAGTAATGCGTCACTAAAAATAAGTATAGGTAAACAAACATACTTTTTAATTGAAGTGTATTATATTTTCTGCATTAATTTAAACTTTTTGAATTTAAAAGATAGTTCTAAGATAAAATCCCCCCGGAAAAAATCCCCCCAAGAAAAAATGCTTTTGGTTTCAAATTAATTAAAATAAATTAAAAGTATATATATCAGAGCTTTTTGTTTGTTAAGTATTTATCTATGGCCAAATAAGTTACAACGTTAACAAGATAGAATCGGGAATTGCAACCTTCATATTTTGCATATTAAAGTTTTATGATTTAATTAAGTTACATAAAGTTAGTTTTTTGATGATGAACTACCGGAGTACATTCTTACAAGTTTAATTAAGTTACTTTAAAATCCCGTTCTTAAATAAATTGAATGATCCTAAAAAAGTTTAAAATTATGGGTATGCTTTCATGATTTTATAAACCCACCAACGAAAATGTTTTTAAAACATCAACCTATAATTTTGGATCCACGTAGCTTTAAATAAATATCATTACAAACTTGCGTTAATATATTGCAATTTAGTATATTTGTATGTTTAGTATATTTGTTTTTTATGTATTCCTTATGATAATTTTGTTTTTTTTAGTGTTTTTCTTTGTTACGTATAGGGCAAACTTATAGAATATAATAATTCAACAGATGATAGACTGTTGAAATAATTATGACTTATTCATGCAATCGAAGTTTAGTGTGTTTTTAGTTGGATAAAAATTGAAGCAACATATGTAACGCGCCATCCCATAAAGGAGAGTGGTAAATATATGGCTAACATGTGCTTCCCACACGTGGGCCACATGAAACTTTCACGCACAAATTAAGAGTGGCGATCGTTCTTATTTAGTGTGGTTTTAGTGGGATAAACATTATAGGCACATATTGGACGCATCAACGCCATCCCATAAAGGAAAGTGGTAAGCATATGGTTAGCATGCAAATGCAATACATGGCCCACATGGCCCAAAGTTTCTTGTCGGGCTGTTGTAGAATTTCTGAATTTTTTTGTTCTGCTTCAAAATATTTATAAATATTTCTTCTACATATAGATGGGAATTACATCAGAACAATTTAGTTAAAACAGAAAACGTATCACTTAAAAAACTATCAGATACCAGAAGGTCAACAAGATCTGACGCAATTATTAGTTTAAACAAAAATTGGAATTAAATAATTAATGCAGTCTTTTATCAAAAATGATAAATTACAAAAGTCAATTACAAGATCAGAAGCTAATGGACTATAATTAAACTTATTATTTTGAAACGGTTATAATGGCCACTTTACGGGGTGGTATACTAGTAAGATTTAACAGAACTAATAAACAATTGAAGTCAGTTTAGATTGATTTAGAAACAGTTGAAAACAGTTGAAAACAGTATTAGACCTAAGTAGTATGTTTTATATTTATGAAGAGAGAGAGCAATTAATAAATCGGGACACAAAACATATCGAAAAATACGCAAAAAAAAAAAAAAAATTAAATGCAGATGAAAAAAGAGAAGGAGAAATAATTTTGAAATTCGAGACTCTTTAAGGATTACCATATATTATGCTATTATAAATAAACTACATTCTGAACTAAAATAAAGATGAAGCCAATAAAAAGTTTAACTTTTTGTTTCATATACTAAAGAAATCATCAGAAGTTTACAAAAAAGTAGAAATACTTTATAATTAAAAATGATCTTTCGACTTTATTTGCTAACGGGTGCATACAATTCAAAAGTTATTTAATTAGTTTAATTGAAAACATAAGATCTAAAACTATAATAGATATTTGTAAAATGATTAGAACAAAACAAAAAATTTCAACAACTGGAGTCGGAGTTGTTACTTTTTTTTTACAACTCTACACCCCTGCATATAGCAATTATGATAAATCTACTATGCCCAACTTCCAGTTGTTCAACTGAGAGATCGTTTTCAGTAATAAAATAGGGTTAAGTTTTATTTGGGGTAGGAAATGACTGGTGATCATCTTGATCTGCGCCACGGCCGCACATTAGTGCCCCATGCCCATGCCGGCGCAATAGGTGAGTTTGGGGGGTGACACACCCACCCCCATCAATAATTTTTAGTCGGCAAATTTGTCCTTAGTTGGCAAATTTGACTAGTTAGTCGGTAAATGTAGACCCTTTCGATAAGTTAGTCGGTAAATTTAGACAGTCAGTCGGCAAATGTTGTCATACCAGTCGGCAAATTTTCAAAAACAAGGACTTTTTTTTTTTTTTAGTCGGCAAAGGTTGTAATGGCCCCCCCCCCCCCCCACGTGAAAACAAAAAAGATAAATTTTGATATCTTTTATTATTTACTAAGAAGAACCGAAAACCGCATTAACCGCTGTTTCTTTAAAAAATTGAAACCAAATCGCCACGTGCCGAGCCTAAATTTTCTAATTCCCTTAGAAAATTTAAAATACAACTATAGTAACGAAATTTAAACTAGTGCTTGGAAAACTTTGGAAAGCAAGTGCTTGGAAAACTTTGAAAAACTAGTGCTTGGAAAAATTCTAAATTACTATGATGAGTCTAAAACTGAAGCCAGTCTTATAAAAAATATTTATCACAGTTATTATGTTATTTATAAAATAACATAAATAAGCTAGAAAACTAGCTGGACCTAATTTTGTAGCTTATTTGTGCTATTTTATAGCTTGTTTATGTTATTTATTTATAGATATAGATACTATATTTTATATGTTATGACTAATTTCACAAAAAATAAATTTATGTTAAATTTAAAACTGATTAGAAAATCAGCATATAAATGATATCAAATAATTGATAGCCAGTAAATGGAAGCATTTGACTCTCATACTCATGGATGTTGTAAATATAGGTTAAATTTGACAACTTTTTTGTAAATTTGTAATTAAATTGTAAATTTGACAACATTTGTAAACTTTGATTATCTCACACGTATGCAAATAATTTCATTATATTAAATTCTATTTATAATAATATTTAATTTATACAAAATCAAATATAACAAAAAACTAATAATAGTTTATTTAATAAAATTATTTTAATTATTTTTTTAGAGTTTTGAAAACCTAAAGTATTTTTTAGTCAATAGATTAAAAATTTTGTAATTAAAAAAAAACAACAAAAAAAAAAAAACAAAACAAAACAAATTATAAATAATAACTATGACTCATGCAGTTACCATTAGACTCATAGTATGAGCATGGTTGCTCATTCTATGAGTCTAATGGTAACTGCATGTGATATGGACACCCTTTTGAATTTTCTATATATTTTCTAAATGATGAATGTAGTTCATGAATTAAATTAAGTTCATGAATTAAATTTAAAATTATAAACAGTTTTAATCTCTATAAAAATAAAAATAATTTTTGATAATTTAGTAAAAGTATTTATTTAAATTAAGAAAATAAATATTATGGACATGTCTTGTTTTATTAAGGAAATCTTATTTAAATGTTAAAAGTAAATACAATACTGAAATGCCATTAACATAAACAAATTAAATAAATAAATATATACACAGTGATAATAACATATATTTAAAAATAATTTATTAGATTATATATAGCACCTCACAACTATTTGTTATAACTAGTTAAATTATAGCACCCTCATAAAGCTACATAGTCATAATGTTAGCTCATAGTATTGTAGTATAGCTTGCGACAAAAAACCACATTTAATAAGTAAACATAATTTTAAAAACTAAGCCCAGGGAAAAAAAACCAACAAAATAAGTCCATAATCATTTGTCTTCTCAGTTTGTTTTTTTTAATTTGCATTCACTCCCAACAAGGCTGCAAGCAACCACTATTAAGTTGGGAGTTACTAGGAAAAAAAAGAAGAACAGAGTTATAGAGCAAGGAAACGGTTGACAGATAACTTGAAAAGCTGAAGGTTGTATGAAAAAATTAGATGAATAAAAGTTTTTAGAGCATGCAGGGACAGTTACCTAGCTCTTTCATAATTTGCCTGAGCAAGATAGCATTATTTAAAGTTATAAACAAACATTGGACTAGATTTTGTTTCTTACTCCTCGGTTGCTCTACTACTTTGTTTTTTGAAGTACAATTGAATAATAAAACCTGGAGTTCACTAAATTAAAAAAACTTCTGGCTGTTAAGATATGAATCAATACAAAATTTGTAGTATAACTAGTTTTTCTTTAATAAAAGAAGCCTTAATGCCATTTGCAGTAACACAGACCTTAATTCATCTGTTGTTAAACTGTATAATTTTGCTTTCATGTCAAGAATAACATCAGTTAATTCTTCCTCTTGTGTATCATTCAATGTATTTTTTCGACTAAAGTGTATAATCTTTTCTTTTTCCAACTTTCTTTAGTAAAGTAAATCTTGAATATCAATGTTTATTGATGCACTTCTGTGTGAAATGTGGTCTGCAACAACATTCCACAGGGTTCTCCAATGCTGTTAGAGTTTACGTTGTTTCCATGAGTCCATTTTTGTTTGTTGCTTACTTTTAACTTTAATTACTAATAAAATACTTTTTAGTTCATATTGAAATGACCAATTAAAGTATTAAGCAAAGTTTTGCTATCCTTCGAAAATAGTTTTCTATTGAAATCTATTTTTGGAAGAAGAACGATTCTTGAAACCTTCAAAAATAGTTTTCTGTATGTCAAACTTTCCGGGATAGCTACGATCTTTTTAATTTTGTATATAAAATGTTATTTGAGTAAAAATTTTTAAAACAAGCACACCGTTATATTATTTAATGCCATGAGCATATTATCAGCACTGTCCATATTTTTCACACTTACCCTACTGAAACCCTAACAGGTCAAAATATAGTTAAAAAAGTTACTTGAAGACTTCAATTTTCATACCTATACACTTTTTTTAGATTAATTTGAAATGGTGAAGTCCAAGAAAAAAAAAGAAAAAACTGCAGACTTCAATAAAGTAAAATTTAAAGTTGGAAAGCATAAACCTAGAGGAGGTAATGTCACTGATACATCATTTAGAACAGCCACTATAAATATTTCTGCTCAACTTGAAGTACGCAATGTACCAACAAACAAAAGAAATTTGTCATTAAAGGTTTGAATTTTTAGCTTCACAAAACTCCATATAATTACCTTTTTTATTGTCTTAATATTTAGTTAATTGCATGTAAGATTTTTATAACCTATCTATGTATTATATGGCCAATTCATAAAGAGCTTGTATTACTTTCTTATGTATGATTTAATTAAGAAGCTCTTAATAATATTGCTTGCTAGTTCTATTATATATATATATATATATATATATATATATATATATATATATATATATATATATATATATATATATATATATATATATATATATATATATATATATATATATATATATTAGGGTGTGTCAATTAAAATATAAATATATATATATATATATATATATATATACATATATATATATATACATACATATATATATATATATATATATATATAAATATATATATATATATAAATATATATATATATATATATATATATATATATATATATATATATATATATATATATATATATATATATATATATATATATATATATATATATATATATATATTAGGGTGTGTCAATTTGATGACTAAAACCCAACGTTTTTAAAAAAAGAACTTTTTTATTGAAATTATGGTAGATTTCTATAAATGAAATGGAGTAATATATATATATATATATATATATATATATATATATATATATATATATATATATATATATATATATATATATATATATATATATATATTAGGGTGTGTCAATTAAAATATAAATATATATATATATAAATATATATATATATATAAATATATATATATATATATATATATATATATATATATATATATATATATATATATATATATATATATATATATATATATATATATATATTAGGGTGTGTCAATTTGATGACTAAAACCCAACGTTTTTAAAAAAAGAAATTTTTTATTGAAATTATGGTAGATTTTTATAAATGAAATGGAGTAATACTTTTAAAAATTAAGTAAATTAGGCGGTAGCTACATTTTTTTGAGTTTTTATGTATTTAATTTGCTAATAATTTGAAAATCGTTAAAACAATGACGTATTTCGTTTAAAATGTATTTTGTTTCTAAAAATTTAACTTTAAGTGGAAGAAATTTATTTCGGACCTATTAGGAGATATTTTTAAAACTTAAACATTTAGCTTAATCAAATAAATTAAAAATAAAATTACTTGGATTATTGAAAAATTATATTTTAATAAAAATAATGGCCCCAAAAAACACAAGAAATTTATCTGCTACTCACTTAATTAGATATGTTGGAAAAGGGAAACCCCTTTTAGCATCTGAGCTCCCTACTGCAAGGGAATTTTAAGATATGGATTATTTTTAAGAGAGACCAGTGACCTTAATAAAAGAAACTATACTGTCTATAAACTAGTTAATGATATGATTCTTGCTTTATCTGCCCACTGGAAAAAGGCTAATTGCTAGTTTTTACATCCAGTAGTAATAAAAGAATGTACTATTAAAGCAATAATGAAGTATCTGTGGGAAACTGCTGTTAAAGTTAGCCTTGGAAATGCAAAAAAATCAATAAAGGATAGTTTCATTCCAAAAATTGACAAACTTGTTGATATTTTATCCTGTAAATGTTTAATAATGTTATGTTCAGAGAAAGGTTGTGATCAAGGTTGTAAAAAGCAGGCGTATATTAAATGTATGTATGTATGCGAAAACAAAATTCCTGTTATAGAACTCAGCTTTATCAAGTCACAGAGAGTCAAAGTTGGAAGTTTTGCCCATTATTATATTGGTGAAGATGACACAATAGAATCAAAAAAAATAAAACAAGTTGTAAAGAAAAAAGAGGAGTATCAGCAGCAATTAGAAATGAGAGTTGAAAAAATTTAAAAAAGAAGAAAAACTCAACCAAACAATTCTAGAAGATTATAATTGCCTTGCACAGATTAATCAAGTAATAATAAAATGTTTGTTAGTAAATAATTCTAGTATAACTATTTTTAAAGAAATGTTGATAAGGTGAATTATAAAAGTATCTTAATATCTTTTTTTTTACTTAGATTTTTCATAAACCATTAACTTAATGATTATAACACAAAGTTTAAGCATTTTATTAATTTTTTAGATTGAAAAAACAAGCAAAGTTGACTCAGAACCAAACATTTCTGGAGAACCAGAACCTTCCAATAATATTGTAAAGGTTTATAACAGAATGGACATAACAAACATTGTATTTGCTATTATGAGGCATCACACTAGCTTACAAGAAACTGCAGAAATAGTGACAGCAGCACTTATAGATTCAAAAATTATAACAAAGAATGATACATCGATGATTATTGATCACAGCAAGGTTAAAAGGGTGCAAGAGAAGTTAGCAATCGAATTAGATAATAAATTTAATAAAGATCTTGAAAATAATGTGGTTTCCTGTATTTTTTGGGTGGAAAGAAAATTGAGAAAGTGATTAGTGTGAATTGTGTGCAATCTTGACACAAACAAGTTAGGGTTAAGAAATTTAGTTATAAGCTTAGACGGCCCAACAAAATGTGGAAATAAGTGGTCAGGACTACTGGGAAAAATGTTAAATACAGCAACAAGTCTTGAAATTAATCCCAGATTTACAAAAATTGATGTTGGGCCTGCATTAATTGTTCTAAGCCCTGAAGTAATAAGAGGTTTAAGTTCTGATCAGAGTTATGCTTGCAGAATAACAAAAGCAATAAGGTGTGGTGATTTACCTCAGCAGTTAGCAATGCTAGAGATAGGACCTGTTTGCCATAGCAGGTGGCTCACAACAGCATTAAGATTTTGCAGGATATTGGTTTCTCAGCTTGGCCTATATGGCACCAATCTTCAAAATCTTACATGGCCATGACCAAGCTGATCTTTTAATTGTGGGCATTACAATATCAAGAACTGGTTCAATTTGGAATATAAACACTTACAATAAATTCGACAATCCATATGGATTGTCGAATTTATTGTAGGTGTTTATATTCCAAACTGGTTTAACATAAATTTATATTCCAAACTGGTTTAACAAAAATTTAATCATGTTGGGTTGAGGGACCAAGACACGTTTTATACCAATTAGAACTCCTCAGAAGCCAGAGGAAACCAGTTCTTAATATTGTAATGCCCACAATGAAAAGATCAGCTTGGTATATACATTCAGAAGCTGTTTTACAAGCTATGATATGCAGTGAGAGTAAAGTAGAAAGAGTTCAAGCTGTGGAAATTATTCTTAAGCTTTGTGAAAAATATCACAACCAAACTAATACTTGTGTTTATAGGCAAAGACATCGAAGAATACTGGATATTAACATTGATGCTTAAGATCTTTTTAGTTTGAAAGACTGGAGAAATAATATAACAAAACCACCTTTCACATGCAATTTTAAATTTTCCGATATTAAAGATTTAGTTAATAACCCAATGGTTGTTCCCCATTGGAGTTTACATACACAATCAGTTGAGAAGTGTGCACAGCTTGTGACAGAAGCTGCAGGACATGTCCACACATCAGAAAGAAGAGAAGCTTTCAAGAGCCCAATTCATTAGCAGAGAGTTGATGTCTGCTAATAGGAGCAGAAAAGACATGATGAAACTTCTAAGCTCTACTTAAATAATATAGTGATTTTTTAATTATTATTTTTTGTTAAGCATAAAAAGGATAACATTTTGTTGTTTTTTTAATATTCAGCCTATATGTTTTATATTATTATATTTAATAAACACTTAATATTTAATAGATTACTTATTATTTTAATAAAATAGTAGTGTTTTTTTTTTAAAATAATATTAGTTGTCATAACAATTTTTATTTTTATAGACAAAAAAATGTGCCTAAAATAAATTTATTTTATGAGAAAGCTCATGTTATAAGAATTATAAAAACTATAGAGCTATCTAACAATAGGGTGCCAAACCACCTCAAGTGTAAAAAGCCCTACAACTTACTTTGTAAAAATTACTATATAAATAATAATAAAAAATAATATATATTTTGTACAAAGTATAAGGGTTTTTATAATGATATTCTTACATATTTAACACATATAAGCAGAATTTTCAATTTTTTTTTTACTTTCGCAATAAATAGAATACTTAAAGAAATTAAAAATAAAACTGTTCAACTCAAGGCAGGCCTTGTGATAAATAAAAACTGCGCATCGCATAAGTGCGATGTGATTTTTGACGTCATTAAACTCTTTTTATTTGCTTTTTATATTTTTTGACATTAACTGCACCAATTTACTTAATTCCCACAAAACTACTTTAAATCATTAATGTAGAAATGTTATTATTTAAAAATGTTTTGGAATGTTCCATTTTTTAAAATGTAAAAACATTTGCTTATTTTCTCGACGTTTGACACATTTTGTCTATACTAAACAAATAAAAAACATTATAACTAAAATTTAAAAAAGATTATAAAATATGCTAATATTTGATTTTTTTTTTCTCAATATGTAATTTAAAGTTTTTCAAATAATTATTTTTTCTTTTTAAAAAGTCAGCAAGTAATAAACTGGAAATTTTAATATTGTACAATTAAAAACTGTGCAATAGCTAATATTTTTACCAGCGATTTTATATAATATTTATTTATTTATTTTTATTTATTTTCATAAGGCGGTTGATAAGCACAATCACTCGTATTAATAAAAAACTTAAACGAACGTTTTGAATAGATTTTTAATGTTAACAAGGAATTTTATTTCTAGTAAAATAAAATAAAATGTTAGAATAAAAATCTTATAGGTATAAAAGAAATATTTCAGCGAAAAAATTATTCTTAAAAATTATTCTTAAAAATTATTCGAAAAACTATTGACGTTCTATTTTTCAGCAGCTGTTCTTGAGCACGCTTCGTTGAGTTTCGGTAACTTTTAACATAAAAGCGATCGTTATTATTTAAGTAATTTTTTTGAGTTACTTTTTACAAAAATTTTAATAACTGTACTTTTTTATTGAATCAAGTAGAATACGTTTTAATATTAATCCTTTTATTTTTTTTATTTGCGCTCAC